ACGCCATGGTTTGGCGGACGCTCGGCAGAACGAGCATGTTCGATTATCAGGAAGATTAAGATGGAACCTGAAAATGGACCTTTGGAAAACTTTGTTCCTTTGCAACCCAGTGAACACTCCCTCCAACAAGCACGGAAGTGGAACATGTCTAAACCCATCTAAAACCACTGGTGATTCAGGTATTGGGCTTCCATTCAGTTCCAAGAGCACAACAATTAGTTATGTTAAAATATATATCAGTGAAAGTATCAGTGAAGCCAGTTATTCTTATAGCATTATACAGTGTGTATATATATATACATATTACATATAATATATCATATATATATATGATAATATATATATGATATATATATATATGTTTGTTTAAAACATATTGTAATTGTACACCTATACTATACATGCCTCCACTGTGTCACCGCCAACAGCCAGCGCCAACAGGCTGGCTGTTTGGCCAGCAGCTCAATGGTGCTCGCCTTCTGCGGGCAGCGGCTGGTTTGGAGCCTCGGCGGTCCGGTCCAGAAAGTAGTTGGGTGGTGAGGGATCAGTAGTAGTTGGGTAGTGTAAGGTAGTTGGGTAGTGGACCATCCCCACCAGTCGTTTGGTGGTGGATAAAGGTGCTGGTTTTCCAGTCGTTTGGGCCAAATCCCATGAACTTGGGGTGTCATCTACTCTGAAACCAATGTGCACTAAAGAATTGGGGCCTTGGCTTGCAAAACATGGGCCCCCCAAATGACCACTGACTGAACCCAGCCGGGTTGAGACTTGTAGGAAAGACAAAGTTCTGAACGTATTACCATCAATTTGTTTGCCATCCTGTGCCTAATGTTGACTGTTGTTTTATATATCGCCCCTTGCCTGGATGCAAGATCTTGGGGGGCACCAGTCCGTGCTTAAAGGGATCAACATGCGGATTCGGGATCAACTCATCCCGATGGCAAATCTGGACCGATGCGGAAGGCCGGGCCTAAATGGACGATGCAGCTTCAGGGGGCGAATGTGTAGCTGTAGCTATCCATCGAAATCACGATATGTTTGCTGCATTTGGTTGCAGCATGTTCTATAGATATGTTGATGGAATCCTGTCCGCAAACAGCTAACTGAGGCTACCCTCAGTAGTGCTGAGGTTCAATCCATTTGATTGAAAGAACGTGTTTTCGCATGTGTCGCATGGGTTTTTCACGGGTGTGGTTGAACGGTTTGTCACATCAACACGAGTTGCTATCTCGCCCTTTCGCCCACAATCGAACGAACACCCGAACGAGCTCGGCGTCCGCACGTGGCATGGCATCTGGGTCCGCGGATGGGTTCCTTTGGTCGCAGGATGCAGTCCTTTTGTTGTCCTCAGAATCATGTCGTGCACCATGAAGCGTGGAACATGGCAAAGCTGCTGGATCGGTCCACGTGGAAGATGCGCGTGTGTTCGTTCGGGATTTTGATTTGTCACCTACCCCTACACCCCAAACAATTGGTGTAAACTGTAGAGTATCAGTCCCCCCAAAACAAACCCAGGGAGTGAGTTTGGTCCAAGAACTTGCTTGGTTGAAGGAAAAGCCATAAGAAATGAAATCAAGTTTCTTGTTGTTCCTTTTGAGTTCAAAGAGAAAGAACTTGATTTCCCTTTATTCACATCATGTCATATCTATTTCAATTTGATATATATATATATTGTATATACTGATGTTATATAAATAAATATGTTTGCTTGGGAAGAAACATGATGTCCTTTTTAAGTTTCCCTTTGAGGAGAAGAACAGAGAAAGCCACGCAAGGACCTGACCTCAAACGAAAGCCATAGCTAGCTATAAGTAATGAGACACTTAGCTCGTGTTCTGTTCGCACCGGCAACCTTCACATGATTTCAGACCCCAAAACTAACCATAAAAAGGTGTATGTTATACGTGTCATTCCATTCTGGGATGTTTGCGGACTACCCCCTTTAAAATCTCCTTTTGGGGCCATGGGTTTTTCCAAAGTCTTCAGTCTTCAGCGTCAAAGGACGGATGCCTTCGCGACCGGCAGCAGTTTTTAAGGGGGGTTGGAAGATATCTATGTTTCAGTCTCGAACTCGTAGTAAACATAATGTGTCTAAAGGAATGACCAGCAGCGTGTTACGATGTTGGATTCCTTCCCCGTTTCGCGACCGGCAGGTGACATCATTTACTTGAGTCGATCTTGCCCACCTCATGGTCTCGCAGGGTGAAGCATGCGGGATTCCGCTGGATGTTCCACTGAATCTCATGTTGAATTCAGATGACCTAGTGACTACAACAGGAACCCAACTTGGGTGTGTCACATGTTCACAAAATTGAGATGTCGGCCCGGCCTGCAACCCAACCATCATCATTCCACTGGCTCTAGGGAATGGGATATACACCCGGGAAGATTAACATGGAATGTTCAGAACCAGGGCGGTGGCCCCCAACACCAAACCACCATCCAGAACGTGTTCACCGTGGCCACGGTGGCCCCGTAGAGTTTGGGGAAAGTTCTGGCCAGCGCCACTAGGTTCACGTCCAATGTGCTATTGGTGCCAGGTGCTATTGATTTCACGTGAAACCGGTTTTCCTTTGTATGCGGCAGAGAGCTTCTTACTGTCATTCTAAAGGTTTCCCGTGTTTGCTGATATGTGGCTTGATGTTGCTTGTTTTTTTGGTTTTTTATAATGTGTAACAGTGAACATGCAGCTATTCAGCACACTTAATCTCCCCCTGACCGCCTGACATTTGATGAAGAACCAAGCCATTCAGCTTTGATTTCCCATAGTTCGACAAGTTCCCCCAATAGATGTTTCAGTGTGTGTGTGTAGTTTTATAGTGGGTCAACCGACCCCCGGGGCTCAATTGGGTAGGCTGGTCTACCTTCCGGTCGGAACGCCTGGGAGGTCTCCCTATTTTGAATGCACACCCCAATGATATATGTTGGTTCTGGGAATGGATCCAACCTCTTTTGAGAAGGTGGAACATCCAGCGATGCATTTGTTGACTGTAAAGAACGGGTGACCAATGCGCGCTTAGGGCGGGTGGATAGCGCCACGGTGCTGCTCTCGCGTGCCATCCAGCCAGGACAAAACACCGCTTTTGCCGTGTGGCCCCTCTGAAATTGGAGCATCGTCCTGTGACAAAAAGGAACAAAACCATCAAAACCAATTGTTTTCGGGGCCTTGCACTCCCATTCTAGTTTGGGGGCACCACATAAGGATTTCTGGTTGTTTATATATTTCTTATGTGATTGTCCTTCTTCAAATGTTTCACTTCCTCTTTGCTTGGCATTCGTTTCAAATCAGACTTCTCTTGGTTTCGATTCATCCAGCGTGGTCCGAATTCGGACTTTTCTTCGTTGGACCACCTGAGAACTTGGAACCATGGGTGGTTTGACTGGAAGCAATGCCTTGGAAGCGGGATTGGGAGTCGACCAGACATGGTGCCGCTGAGAAACCCATTGTTTCCGTTGGTTGAGAGATGAGGTGACAGCCTAATTACTGACTTCACCAAGCAAGATCCGCTGCAATTGATCAGGATTTCGACACCACGGCATTTACAGCCAGCACAGTCCTTCAAACAAAACACTAAGCTGCTCAGCTGCATACACCCCATATGTGGACGCCCCTATATTTGGGACTTCGAGATGTTTTGGGACTCCTTCTTCGTTCGTCACATCGGTGATCAGACCTCGTGTGAAGAAACCTCCCTCAGGTGGAAGGAGCAGAAGGCTCGGTGGAGCCACTCTCCGGGAGGGTCACTTGGGAGCCCTGTGGAGCGAGAACAAAGGAAGAAAAGCGGCAGTTCTGCCGCCGATTCCATGGGTTTGTTTGAATCCCATGTGGTGTAGACTGTGGAGATGTGGGAGCATCCAGGTATCCAGTTGTATCAAATTGTCTTAATAGAAGAAAGAACTCTGATGGAATGGCGTTCAGAACTACATCTTACGTCTCAACCCGGTTGGGTTCGATGGTCATTTGGGGGGGTCATGTTTTGGTGAAGCCAAGGCCCCACACTCGCAAGACTCCTGTCCTGAACCAAGACTGGTTTCGTGCAGACAAAGACGCCCGGGCGGTTTGTGAGCCTGTATCGTATGATGAAGCTGGGATCCTGTTTTGCACGCTGCTCTAAGACTGGGAGGACTTACTGAAAGCAACCTCTGGACCTACGATGCCAATTCAGGTGTTCACCAGCCAGGATCTGGGTGGTGGTTTCAGGATATCTTTAAAGATCAACCGTTTCTTCAAATCATTACCCCCCACTGACAGCCATATGTGTTGTTCGGTTTTGTTGAAACATGTTGAAACCACCAACCAGACGACCTGTGTGTTCAGTATGGTCCAACCACCAACTGGCCGGTTAAGACGCTAAGCTAAGCCTTGGCACGTCCTGCTTGGCTCAAAACGGTTCTGTTGGTGCTTTGTACACGGTACTTTGTAGACGGCTTTGTCCATAATTACTTCCCGCTTTGTACTGTGGTTGAGCCTGGTTTTACAGTCGTTTTTGTTTGATGCGTGGATTGAACAACATCGGAGATGAGCTGTCTTGACAAAGCGGGACCATCGATTTTGCTGCTCGCCCAACCAGTTTTTTAATGGGAAACATTGGACAAGACGTTCCAAAAACATGTAAAATGTTGTTCAGTTGGTGATTTCAAACACATGTGACATGTGGATTGTCCTATCTCATTTCAGCCATGAAACTGCCCAGCCAGGTGCGCGGGAGCTTCTACAGCAGACTGTGGCAGCGGACCCTTTCGGTCGACCCTTTCAGGAGGAGGTGGGCCGTGGCAGCGAAGTCCAAACTGAGGGGTAGAGGTCCAGAGGTCAAGGCGTTGTCCCATGTGGTTGTGGGTCAAATCTTCCAGGTTGCGATTGCCGGGTAGTACATACTATACCTCTCTTTGTAGATATTGAGTATAATTAGACCCGAAGAGTCCCCGAATTGATTGATAAAGGATATACAACTAAACCCCTAAAGGTTAAACCTTTAATTCGTAGATTTTAAGAACAGGCCAGCAAGACCTACCCAGGCAGGACCACCACGTGGAAGTAGAGACAAGAAGTAGAGACAAATTGGTGGAAGTAGAAGTAGACAGTTTGTCACTTGTACTAGTAGAAGTAGGACTAAATTGGTCTCATTTTGTCTATTTCTTTCACAAGTAGAAGTAGACTCAGTAGACAGTTCGGTTTCCGGGAAATTGCGAGTCAGAGAAGTCAGGCGCCAACTCACGAAACTCATGGGGCCTAGAAAGTTGCATGGCTTGAAGAGCGCATGTCCGGCTGAGAAGTGGACGTTGGTGAAAGAATTGAATAGAGAAGTGCTTGGTAACACCTTTGGCAGTGTTGCATCTAAACAATCTGGATCTCTCCACCTTTTGCTGCCTTTTGGGTGCCCTTGTTGGTGCCTTTTGTTTTTGGTTGGACCCCAAAAACGAGTATGAGTCCGCGGAGTGCACCCCCAAAGGCCGAACAATTCCAGTCCTCCAGTCCTACGGACTCGACCGAAAACAGGACGAACCGCGCGCAGCGAGAGCCGCGGCTCTCGCCGCGCGGCCGAACCGCCGTGGTTTGGTTGAAACCAATCCCAGATACGCTCCATGGGACTGCCATAGGACTGCCGATCAGGCCAGGGGTGAACAAGGGGTCGGGGTGGCATATATTCCAGTCCCATGGAGTGTATGGGAATGGTGGATTCCAGCTTGCGAAGTTGCGAAGAGGAAAACACCACGACAGGCCGGGGTAGGAAAGGCCGCTCGCGAAACGGGGTTCACGCGCCGCACTAACACCAGGAGGATCACCTGTTTGTTCATTCCTTGGTTTTCGCGGTTGTTCTCTTCCCTCTATTGGGTTCAACGGCAAGCTGGGGACGTTTCAGATGATCAAACGTGACATCGGAAGCACCGGTCATTAGACTTCTCGGATAAAACACGAGCCTTGAAACGAGCTGAGCACAAGCTGGCAAATGGTTTCGGCGCGCGGTTTCAGCGCAGGTGCTACTAGATCTCTTTGAGGATCTCGTAGACTATGCAAATGCTGGGTGCCCAACTCGGCGACGCGAGAGTGGGCCTGGGCAGAAACAAGAGGACGTGCATTGTCTGACTCGCTCGATGCAAAAGACCGGTTTAACGCCCGTTGTTCAGCCATGAGACGAATGACACTCACAAAATCGGCGCAATCGCGCGCATCTGTCTCTCTTCGATTAGACTTTCAGAGGTGTTGCATGATGTTGCATGTTGCTTTCCACAGGGCTCCCTGCAGACGTGACATGTGACATGTGACTTAACTGGCCACCCTGCATAAAGTCATCCAAATTGTGAGGAGTCAGATGCCAGTTTGCTTAACTTCATTAGCTGAGCTGCTTCTCCAAGCACAGATTGGAGACATGTCGATGGGGTCCAGCTGTGAAACGGTGGAGTGTGTGGAATTGTTTGCAGTGCCCGGTGGTGCAGTTGCAGGGATGGTTTGAAAAGAGCCCATTCCTGTTGGATGAGCAGTGGCTCACAACTTGTTATATAGTGATAGTGCTTATAGAGTCGTTCTTTTTTGTTATTAACCTTGTATATATTTATATATAATATATAGTAATATATATATATATACTGTATACTTCTTTGTTATATAGGTGTTGTTCTGGCTGTAACCAGTGGCGTGACATGAGGATCAGTTGAAGATTTTGAGCATCATTGAAATCTTGGCAGCTTTGTTTAAGTAGGCTTTGCTGGTTTGCATGAAGCGTTCTGCGGAGCTGCCAGCTTGTGTGGAATCCACGATGTACCGATCGTCTTATGTTGTCCGCGGATGCCTATACAAGGGCCGCAAGAAACTTGCCGGAATATACTGCAAGGAACAAACATTTGATGACACCTGCATATTTTTCAGCGTTGGATGCCTGCTCAAATGAAGACTTGTGGTGCTTAGACCTGTGAATCCTGGAATTTGGGACACGTTCTCGGATTCATTACGTAGGATTCACTGTGGGTGCATGGGCGCAACAGTTGCCACTGACACACACACACACACAAAGCAAAGAGGAGTATGATATTGTATACTGTATATGAAATGGTCCACACAGTATTGCAGTATCGCACCGGTCGTATGTCCCTGAGTTTTTGTATCCACTCCGTCCACACAAATCAAGTCAGTTTGGATCTGGAACCTTGCACTTTTGCCCACACTAAGTAGCATCCTTCGGCTACTGCAAACATCTGCAAACGTGGGCTGAAAGTATTGGGGATTGTACAGAGCAACCCCAGCAACCCTGCTGTAAGATGCTAGGTTTGTTTACTAATGTAGGATCTTGATGACAAAAGAACCTACCTGGATGGTAAACCATCTCGATAGTCTACTACATGAGGTGTTTGCCACAGCTCGCTTGCTAAGACCATTTGCTTGACCTCGCGAAAGACCGCGGTCATTGCACCGCACCCAGCTTGTTGGCGCGGTCACGCAGATGTGGACTCGCTGACAAATGAGGGACAAACAAAATATGCTTTGTGGTCAATAGCCATTGGGAAGAGACATTGGGTTTTCCACTCGGCCCTATGCTCCCCACTTGATCATGCTTGATCCTTGGGGGAGGAACTGATTTGACTAACAATACCAAACGATGACTTGTCTTTCCTTTGCTACTCACTACTGGGAGTGTTCAGCATGTAGCATTCACTGCATGTGTGTTGGGTATGGCTATTGGCACTTTGTACCACCATTCATTATATTTTCTTTCAGAGTTTTCTGAATATAGAATTGATTTCGCATATTTGGTGGGTCAGAATGCAAAGAGATGTATGATACGTATACTTTACATCCCCTTGACATTGATTCGCCAAGAGTTTGCCTCCTGCTTTGTATGAGGTGCAGATTCTCAAGCAGGTGCTGGATATGATGCAGCTTGGTGTAAACAGAGTTGATTAAAGAAAAGCTTCAGGGTACTGATATAAGTCACAATGTACATGACGTATGTGCAAATGTTCTGTGCAGACCTTGAACTGGGGACGGAGGCGTAAATGATGCCAGTACAGATCCTAGATTCCTAGATAGCAAAAAAACTACTATTTGTGGCCAGCAGCAGCATCCTACCCTGCAGCGGCACCATCACCCACCCTCCACTGCCATAAGATCTGGCAGCAACACCCTGCTGGGTGCCGCTGCAACACGCAGCGGCAGGGAGCAGCACCCAAGCTCCATTGCCATAGACAATTTGGCAGCAAGATCCTGCAGCAGCACCCTGCAGCCTCACCCCTCCCCCCAAGCTCCAAGCTCCAAAGCGCACACGGCCATGGACATCTCGCAGCAGCACCCATCATTGAAGTGAGAATCCCAATAGCTCTCGCTCTCTGGGCAAAACCATCTTGATAGAATTGTCTGAAGCATGCTCCACATTCTGATGGGATGGCTCCTGGAGAGGGCAGCAAGGTTCCACACCCGGTGCTGCTTGGTGCTGGTCGGGATCATCGCTTGCGTGAGGTGGATGGTCCGATGGTCCCCGAAGACTCGGGTGAGCATGAGCTAGTAGGAAATCCGAAGAGCAAAGGGGTGTAGGGGTGGTGAAGTCCACTTCCACGATGGGTCCAGGGAGTGCATCTACAGACCCGAAAAAGGATTCTACAAACCAGCCCAAGAAATTTTGGTATGGGTAAGTCCTGAAAGGATTGTCGTGTTCGCGAAGCCACAAGGATTGGTGTGTTGCTGGTCATGTTCAAGTGAGGCGAAGCCACAGCTGGGTGAACTCTGGCAGCGCTTCGGGTTCCAAGTACCTCCTCAGAAGGTATTTCCCACCTATATTATTGACCCTATCAGAATTCTAGAAGGTACTTGGAACCCTGGGACCTACATTTGCTCTAATCCCTCCATCCGCTTGGTAAGCATGAACTTTCCTAGTTGTGGGATACCTAAGCTTGGCAGCCAACAGCATGGGAAAGTGTGTAGCTGACCAACTGAGATCAGAACTCGACTAGTTTCATTTAAATCCCCCTTTGAGCCACTGAAATGGTGTTCAGACTTGTTCACCACTTGATTCTATGATCTGTTTCGCAGCTAGAACCTCAAAAGCTGTTCTGAAGCGACCAGAATTTTATGCCTTATGCCTCAGCCGTCTCGCTGGTCTCGGTTTCTCGCCGTCTACTTCCGCCAAGGCACCGAAAGTCGTCCAAGTCCAAACGCTTTAGCCTGGCAGCTCTGGCCGCGTCGCCGCGGTCGCCGCGGTCGCCGCGGAACTCGACGCGGAACCGGGACGCCGAAGGCGTCAGCGTGGTTGTGCGGGTTGTGCGGGTTGTGGGTGGATGAACATGCAAAACGGTGGTTGGGCGGTTTTCCAGCACCCTAGCTACTAGTAGGCCGTGATGGATTCTGCCTCTTGGAAGGTTTTCCCCAATTTTGATGGGGGTCCATGGTCCATGTCCAAGTCGATCCATGTCCGCAGAACCGATTTCCTTGGCTCATCCCGGTGAGTCGACTGAAGGGTTGTTTTATGTTTTTGTCATGGTTCATATCGGCCGACGCCAAGAACTCAGGTGGCTTCTTTGTTGCTATAGACCCAGCTGGCCCAGAGTTGTTGAACAGAAACAGTCTTGCAAGGTCTGTAGTCTTTGTTCTCCATCTATTGAATATATGCCTACATTGACCTCTGACACCGCATCTATGCCATACATGGAGTTTCTGGGAATTGTTTCATCGACCTCTGACCTCGCCGCGCACGATGCACGCACAGCGCACTCGCGCGGGCTCGACTGAGGCGAGACGACGTCCATCTACGAGTGCTTCCGAGAGTTCAAAAGGCACAAACCGATTGAAGGGGAGTCAGAGTGACCATGCACTTTTGGCAAGGCTTTGTTGGAATTCAGGTGGTTTTTGATCTAAAGTTATAGTCTTCCGGAATGATTTGAAGAATCAGACAGTGGAAGCGGATGGACTGGAAAACGATGTGGTTTTTCCACGCGCCACGCGAAGTGCCGATCCTCGACTATCCTCGACTTTGCCATAGGCTGATGGTGGCGCATAGCTATGCTGCCTACGCCACGGCGAAGTCTTCCAATAAGGCCAGCGGAATGAGGGCAGACAGTGGTGGATATCCCGCTCAGCACTGACAGTCTTTCTTGGCGTCTTTGTCGGTTGTTTGATTCTCGCAGCGTCGAACGCGCGGCGGGTCGGGCTATGAAAGGATCAGTTTCTTCATAATATGGGAATTAAATGCTAATTCACTTTTAATTCTTGTTACTAGTAGCTTCTTGCTCCTAGTAGTAAGGCCCTTGTTGCTAGAAACGATGCACTTGTTCCTAGTAGCTTATAATGCTGATTGACTTTTATTTAAATTCTAAATTTGAATTCTTGTTTCTAATAGCTTCTTGTTACTAGTAATTAGTAAGGCCAGGAGCCCCGAACGTCACGTCCGAACCCTCCGTTCGTTCGTCGCGATGCCAGCAGCCCCGAGTTAGTAGCGATGCCCTGGCTCCACATAGATATATGTGCTGAAGATCTTGCGGGGAATTTGGGCACCGAATCCAGAGGATCCTGTGCATCCCGTTCTGCTGCCTCGGGTGCCTTGGGCGCCCAGAGCCGCAACCAAACAACCTTAAGGATTCTTCCAGGTGGGCGGTGGATTGTGAATGACTCCCCGAAAGAGAGGCTGCTACACAACCAGGCTCATGGACCACGGGATCCCACAGACCTGCAGAAACATCGCTGTGGAATGCGGAAGGGGCGTGGGCCGCCAAAGCCTTGGATGTCACCCAAGAGGCATGCTGGATCCAATCACCCTCTCAGATAGTATGTGGATCCATAGTGCGGGAGATATAATGATATGAGAGAGAGAGAGAGAGATTGGATGTCTCCTCGCTGCTGCCCTGGGCATTTACAAATTAGTCTAAGGCCCCAACAAACCTCAGGACTCCAGTTTCCACCACGAACCAACGGGAAAGAGATTCACCAGACGTCTACAATCGTTGACGTCACGGTGGTCTTGAATAGAAACCCAGGAGAGTACGTATTTGCCGTGAAATATGTCCATCCAACCAATCCCACACCTTGGTTTTGGCGGACTCATTCTCTGTGAAGCATCCCTCCGGGCTGTGCATGCAGCGCACCGTGCCCAGGGAGATGCTTCCATGGCCAAGCTGGGAGTGCGGATGCGCAGCTGTTTTGAACCGTGGGAGGTTGGACGTCGCAGTCGACACCACAGGCGGGACTGGCACATTTGCCGATCAGTTGGAGTAGTTGACTGACCAGTTGAACTACTTTCCTGCAGGAGCCGGTTGTGTAGCGAATGTTTCTCCCATTTTCTCCCTGTTTGTGGGTCACCTGCAAAACCCTTTTTTGGAAGGATTAATATGCCATAAGAAGGGGTAGAACGTTCATCGGTCAAAAGTTCATCTTGATCCAGGGAAATCATCCTCGGGAATGAGAGAAGTCATGACAACCAACTCATGGGGAGGCGACCAGTTCGGAGACCCGTTCGGATGAGAAGTGGACCGCTTCACCCAGGTGCTTCGGTGCCACGCCCAGCGTCGCGGCGTGACACGGCGCGCGGGATGAGGTCTTTACCCTGGCCGATGTGCGCTTGCTGACTGACTTTGTCTCAGGACAGCCGGTTTGGCTTAAGCCGCTTGAAGTACCAGTGTCGAAGAAGAATGAAGATGAAGAACAATAAGATTGATGAAGAAAACGGAAGAATGGCATGAAAGGGTTTTGCAAGAAGCTGACTATGCCTGGGTGTTTCGATGCTCGACATGTTTATCGTATACCTTAGGGCCCGGCCGGTATTTACCCCAGAAACCCTCAGAACTCACCTCTTCAAAACGACTTCTATTCGTCACTCGCGGGGGTATTGACCTGGCAGAGCCCAGCATGCAAGGAATGGATGAAAAGAGGGCATCGCCTGAAGCTGGACCCTACTCTTAGCAAAGCAAGTCAGCAGGACATACCGGTCCAGAATGCCACACACTGAGAGCTGCAGGAAGATGCCCAAGCAGGAAGATGCCCAAACGTCTTTTTGCTCCAACACGGGTCGGATATGCAGCAGTGAGGCATATATATATTTATATATATAGAGAGAGAGAGAGAGCGGGTGGAAAACCAAAACCCAGGCCCCATGGCCACCCCTTCTGTATATATATATATTAGATATAAGCCCAAATCGATGCACCTGCTATTCATTCAGCCGTCCGGGACTCAGGGCCGAGAGTCTGAGGTCGTCAGACTCGGAAGTTGACTAGACGAAGGATATCATGAGAGCAGAGCTTCTTCAAATCATTCACAAAGGTGACGCAAAAGGGCGATTCATTCGTTTCGCTCCACATTCCATTGAACACCTATTTCCATACACTTAGGGACCACGACACCAATCAACTGCCATTGGCAGTGGTCACAAGATCGGGATTGCCCACGCGATTCAAACGCCAAAACTACAAAAACACGCAAACCGTGCACCAGGAGCTTTGTTTCAGCAGTTCCTCTTGTACCAGTGCGTGCTCATTTGCCCGCAGGACCCCTTGGTCCCCAAACCACTTTGCGGTGGCCCAAAACATCTCCTGGCCGGGAACTGGGTCGGTCGACTGCTGCGAGATTTGAGGGGTTTTCCAGAGGTGGAGGCCGTTCACATCTGTTCACATCTTTGTTTTTCACAGTGACTGTAAGGGTGGGTCACGCGATGTTCTGGGCTGAGAAAGACGGACGTTGAGGTCTGGATCTCGCAGATCCCGACGTTGAGGGAATAGCGTGGTGGATCCGGACCGTCTCTACGTTGGAAACGAAAGGTAAGGACCTGACCCAAGACCCATCCAGTGGTGACGAAGGTCGAGGAAGAACGAGGTCGCTTGTTGCGGGGGCAGACTTCGAACCAAACCATCGATGGCTGATCTCGGACTGTGCGGGAGCAAGCACCATAGGCATGAGAGAGTTATTCATGTGGCCACCACTAAACTTTGTTTTCACAAGACGTCAAGCAAGGTTTTCACCTCATCATACCTCATCTAGCTGTTGCTCAGCAGGGAGCGATTCCAGAGCTGGGGGTCTCCATATGTCCACATTCAACAGGGAGCCGGAGAGTTCCCAGCACCCCACCACGGACCCGTCTGTTCAGTCCGGCTTCTGCGGACTGGTCCGGCCTCTGCGGACGGCCTTCCGGTGGGAGGCGATGACATCCTGTCCATCTCGAAGTGATGACATCATCCTATCACAGACCCTAAACCCTAAACCCTAGACATGACCTCTCTGGGACTGCCCAGACTTGGCCGATCAGTTGGGGTGGTGAGTGGCTCGGGGGTCCATGTATGCATATATTCCAGGCCCCAGGGAGTGGCTGGGCTATTGACTCGTATGACGTCTATGACTTGATACAAATGTTCCCGGTGGGTTGAAAACCACGACCTTCCCAACCGCTGGGCCAAACCACTACACCCTTTACACCCTTTAGCGGATCCCGTTAGACCGCCACCAGGACCAAGTGACATCTTACCGTGAAGTGGAGGTCCCTCAGTGCGATTCCTCAGACATCGGCCGGTCTGGTCGGTCTCGCTCGAACGATACTGTTCGCGACGCGAGGCTCTTTGGGTCGTCACTCGAGACGATCGCGAGTTCGGTTCCAAGATTTCGAAGTCCGTACCTTCAGGGTTCAGTCCGTACCTTCGGATCAGAGCACCAGTCAGACTGACCTGTTTCGACCAAAGCAAAGTCCTGTTCAAAAGATCACCTGAGCAACCTGGGAACCAACAATTGGCTACCTTCCTCCGGATCGGACCTTCCTGCCCCTTCCGGACCTTCGGATCTCGAATTCTTTGACACCAGTCGGTGTCAGAATCACACAGTCTGCGCGTCTACACCCCGCCTTTCATCACAAGCTTTGAGGTGTTTCTCCGACCTGTGGCAAACAGCAAACCTCAAGTCTACTTTAATGTGCTTAAAACATCGTATAAGCTGTAAACCAAGAACAATCTACAACAAACATAGAGATGATGGGGGTTTTGCCCAAGAAGTCTTGAGTTGTCTCCCCTTAATTCGATCCATCCATCGACGTCCATCACTTCCTTCATTTCACCCGTTGCGGCGGAACCGCAAGGCCGTTGCCGGCGCCGGACCTCAACAAAGCGGTGTTCGGGTCCCACGAATCTGCAGCGGGCGATGTGACACATGGGGCGATGTGCAGTCATACTCGCTCTCAATGTTCATTTTTGTTAGGGATACTCGGATCGATATGGTAGGCAGAACCTGGGCACTATAGTACAGTGGTCTACACGTGGGAGAAGAACACATGTGTTGGTCTCCAGTCTTGAGTCTTGAGGTTCTTTTTGTTTCGAACGGTCGGCCAAAGCCCCGTCTCATGTCGACTTAGGTCAAAGAAACTGGCCGCCAAGGCAGATTCGAGTTGATTCGAGTTGACCACATTGACCATTGGCACCATGCTGTGCCAAAAGAGATCTGGAGGGATCCCCTGCAGCACTGCCCCAGAAGTACAACCACTGTTGAAAATAGTCGTATATTATGATATGTATACTATATCTATAATGGCTGCTCTGCAACTCATGTTGATTACGTTGCACAACTCCATTGCGGCAACTTATACCAATGCATTTTGCATTAAAAAAAGGAACGGGTTTGTTTGTGGACCCAGTTGCCTATAGATGCTCTTTTTGTTCTTCTCTCTAATTGCATTGGAGAGTTGGCATTCAGGGTTTCAAGGGTTCGTCTCCGATCTCTCCAGTTTGCAGATGCTTTGTGTTGTTTGTTGGAAATGCCTCCACAGGTAGGTTTGCGTGCGATAAGCCATGAGAAGCCCTTACTCCACAAAAGGCAAGTGCCTTGGAAGAAGCAGGCCACGCGGTAACTCCGGCTTGGCGGCTCGTGAACACTCCAACCCACGGTGTGCAAGCTAGTACAAGAAAGATCTTGCAGAAGCACCTCGAATATGTTTTGACCGAAGACGGTGGGCAGGGTATGTGGGCCTGTCTTCGCTGTGGTTTCACAAACACAATGAGAGGCTTTGTTCGGCCCATGGAGCGTTTGTGCTTGCCGAGCTGTCAAAGCCAAGAACTACATTCGGATTCATGGGTTGCAAGGCCCGGAACAGATTGCACCTCCCTATGCACACGTCGAGCAGCACCCGCACTGAAGCACCCGAGGTCAAAGATGTATGAGGTGAAAAGGATTCGTGTCTCGAGCTGTCATGTTTCAACATGGCCTAGGAAGAATGCATCCGGCAACATCTTCCTGCTTGAGCATTTTAAACAGCTGGCACCTTGCCAGGTGCCTTTTCCCGAGAACAGTAGATGCACCGATATATGTGTAGGATAATAAAACACACTGCGTTGCGAACATGAGTTCTGCAACTCACCATTGCGCGTTGCAGGGCGCCTAATATGTATATATTTATTTATGCTTACACCTATGTGTACACACAATATTGCTCTATGTTGTTTATATTTGCATTATACTGTTCATATTTATGTTTGGTGTGTTCCAGTGATGTTTACATATGATTAGGCAATAACCACTGTTTAGTGGGGAATCTCAAGACTATATATTTATGAACACACAGTATGTACATCAAATGAGTGAAGCTTGCCTTTCAAAAATCCTGTATGTTTAGAGGCTTAGCTTCAAGAGGTTATTGTTTATGGGTTAACTCCAGGTCTCAAGTACTCTCACTCGGAGGGAGTTTCTTCAGTTGAAGCTCCAGGTCATCAGATTCGATGAAAAGGTCACTATTCCACAGGCCCTACACTACCTTAAAGATCGTCCAGTCAGTTATTTTTTTGGGCTGTTCAGGTTTAGACATACACATGTTACATTATCTAGTCCGGAGTCCAGCATGCTCGTCTCAACATCGGGGTGCCATTTGTTTTTGGCATGCAAAAAGTCCACAAATATTTTGTCCCTTAGATTGGCCATTGGCCATTGCCCAGTCAAGACGATTGGTTTTGTGGCGCCAACGCCATTCCAAATCTGGTGACCATGGCAAAACACCTGGGACTTGCGCTGCATGTGTTGGCAAGCAGCAAGCGCTTGCGTCGGCATGATGGACCTTGCGGCCACTTGCGGCCAGGCAAAGGCAGTTCCAAAGAGGAGTGCCTATGCATCCAGGCGGGATGGGTCAAAACATATGTACATTATATATATATATACACATATATATGCAACATACCGCTGTATCTGGAGATGTAAGAGTGTGAACGGAAGATGGTTGCACAAGAAACGAAGATTGCTGATGCAAATATTTATGTTTCAACAGGAGGTAGGCTATGAAGTCGGAGAATTGCAGTGCAAATGGTTGCAAATTCAACTTAATTTGGACACTTGGGAAGCAATACGACTAGATGCATGTCTCACACAAGATAATATTCATATATTATCGATGTTGTGATGTTTTCTTGGCGAAGACATGCGGAGACTCACCTAGCACGAGTTGAGTCATTGAAAGCACAGGTCAAAGGTGCCGGCGGAAGGGGATGTTGGTGAGGCGTGGTCCGGATGTTGTTGGTTGCGTGGGTTTGGAGGCGATCATGATGAACAAAACGAGGAGGCTATCCAAACCGAAACGAACGCTCAAGATTCATGGAACTGAACATGTTTATGTTTGCGACACACTGTCACTGACACATGTTAAACTGGGTTGTGTTTGATCATGATTAAAGGTTTGTCAACTTCCTTCAGAGGAAAGACAGCAGTCACTTCTTGGATGCTGGATATAGATCGGTGCAATGATACCAGTAGTATAAAGAACGTGCCTAGATGCACTTTATGTGTTATTATATATATATATGTAATGTTGTTGTGTTTGAACTGTGCAAGTATTTGATATTATTTAACTGAAGATGTTTGGCAGCACATTCTTTACGACATTGTTCAGAGGTGTGTAGATGGACCAGGATGGTACCGCACGTTTGCAGTCTGTGTTTGGTGCAATTGCAGATGCCATTATGACACACAGTGAAACTGTTCGTGCACAAGAGTGGCAGGTGGCGGAAGCAGAAAGCGCGGGCCCAAGGTTTCCTTGTAAAGCACACATTCCCTAGGGATCCAAGTACCTTGTCAGAAGGTGATTGGAGACTGCTTATGTAGGTTTGGAGGGTCCAAGTACCCTCTGAGGACGTACTTGGATCTCTAGGGATTAAACACAAACAGTTTCTACAGGAAATATGCTCTTCCAAATCCGGAAAATTGCCATCACTACTAGGTTGGAGGCCATCGCTTCGCTCTTCCAAATCTGGAACAAAGAGGCCCTTCCCATCTTTGAGCCGCATCGAAACAGCCCAAAACGACCTAGTGTTGGGGCATTGGAAGAATTCAACTCCAACAGCCCAGTTATGTCCAGTTGGCCTTGAAACAACTTGAAACCACAGAAACCAGAAAAGCACCATCATATATATATATATATATATATAGACCCTCAAATAGATAGAACAGGATAGAACAGCACATCCCCACCAAAAAAATGTATTGGAATCCGTGCCACTACTGTATCTATTTGGGGATCCCCAAAAGCACCAGTCTCTTCGATTTCGAGCGTGAAAAAGCCACCGCGGTGACGGCGCTGAGAGACCTCACGCTCCCTCCAAGGTCCAAAGACCTTGGAGCAGACCTTGTCACAGCTCCCTAAGGATCACAGTCTGCGGGGGTCCAGGTGACATGGGATTTTCCGCTGGACAGTGACCGTGCGAACCTCCGGACTTACCTGTGTTTGAGTCGACGGTGACCGTGGGAGACTTCTTCGTCGGTGTGTTTTTTTTCTCCACATAGCCAGCGCAAGCGGGAGTGTGGAGATCGGTCAGAAAACACCATGGAGTGCTCGCCAAGGAGTGGAGGAATTCCTTTGCATTGGACTTACGTGGCACGTAGCCACGTAGAATTGAACTGCCCTGCCTTGGGCATCACAGATGAACGCGCGGACAGAGCATGGATAATGCTGCAAAAATGTTTGGGGGGACATTACCGGGAGTGTCCCCTCTCAAGAAGAACTGTGTGGAGTTCGTTCGGTTTCGCCGAAATTTCCCCAAAGTCGATCTCACGTGTTCACCCAGTTGCTTCGGAGACACACGACCGGTTCTGGCGGGACCGTGGGGGGGTCGGATCTGGCCGACTGCTGCAGTTGGAGGTGGAGGAGCTAAAGCCCGTGTTGGGGCGAAGGCGGGGAGCCTCCATAGTTGCAGACGTACCCGACATACCGATTTAGCTTTGCTTTGCTCCGTCATCGATGGCCGGCTGAGACGCTATCATCGATAGTGGAGAGTGGAGAAGCTTTTTTATTGAAGAAGGGGAGTTTGTGGGCCGAATTTGGGGGCAACCAGCCCAAACAATGGGAGTGCTTGGACACTTTGGGAGAACCTTGGATATCACGAGCTTGCAAGCCTACCAGGCCTACGGTAGGATGGCCTAAGAGATTGTTGCTCCTGTGGCCGTTACAGCACAAATCTGACAGAATATCGTTGTAGGTGGCTCCATACGGAATAATGCATGGCACCCTTTGAGATTCTTTTGGCACCAGGTGTAACAGGACGTGTCCATGAACATATGCTTAATGCATCTTCATACCCGCAAGAATACTTACGAAACCACATGTTTGCAGGACAGATGTGACGGGGTCAAACTCAGATTGCTCACGATAGTCCTCAGATGTCCTAAGAAGGATGTTCTAGACTCTCATACTGTCTTCACGACACAGCAACAAACAAGATCATGTTGTTTGCACCACATTGTTGGAGAGAACACCCATAAACCAGTCTGTAAAGAAGTAGCCGTAGCACACGAAGTCCACGGCGAGCAAAACACGAAGCAACGACGAGGTCGAAGCGGGGAAGGCGACTTAACGCCACACGCGGCCTTTTCCAAAGGCTTCTCGAGCCCACCCTCTACGGTGGGATATAGTTGGTTTGAAAAAGAAACTCATGACATGACATGTCAAACATGGCGCACAGCGTGCGTCTCAACACGGGGGAAGGATGTTTATCCCTCAGCCCATGGAGATGCTGCGGCCAAGAAGGCATCGAGCTCCGGGCGGATGGTCTGTGCATGCTCATTGGTCCTATCGGGTGGTGGCCTGTGCATTGCACAGTATGCACATGCTCTACGAACATACAGCGGGCCGTTCATCTGCTCTACAATGTGGCAGGTCTCATGGTGCCAGCACACGGAGGTTTGCGAGGTCACGATGTTCCTCGAGAAAGGGCACATGGAATTGTGCCATTCCATCTCAAACATCAGCCGCTTGATGAGCTGGTGTCCAGTGCCAACCAGGGTTCGGAGGGTCTCCACTTCATCGACCAGGAGGTCCAGTGCGGTTCTGGACTCTTTGGCTGATCGCGCAGCTTCAGTACTGCGCTGCTGCTCCAGTTGGAGTAGTTCTCGAAGTCGTGAGTGCACGATGGGTTCATCTTTCTGAGTCTCAACCTCCTTGGTGTCAACCACATTCTCCTTCTCCTGAACCAGGCGTGGTGCAGTCCAACGGCCAATCATGAACACCGTAGCCATCGCAAGGACGTGCAACATGGCCAGGATGGCCAGCCACAGCCATAGCTGCCCTTCTTCACTCTCTTTCTCTTCCACTTCAGCCACACACTGTTGACCCTTGGTCAAGGTAGGCATTGAGGCCAGCAGCAACATCACGAAGACATTCGAAATGCGACACTTGAAGGTGGTGTCCATAAGCAAGCCGCCATGGCTCATGGCGAACACATACTTTAGAGGCTCCATGTTCTGGACACAAAAGACGCCGTCAGGAGTCTCCTCATTCCTTGGCTGGTCTTCATTCGAAAAAATCTCCGGGTACTCCGAAACGTTGACATTGGCAGGAATCTGCTCGTCCTCAGGGGTCTCATTCTCTTCCTGGTGTGGTGGAACATGAGGTGCTGCTGCAGTGGTTTCTGCAATGGCCTTAGCCTTTTCTCCTTTTGTCTTCTTCTTTGAAGCCACATACTCGGGGTCCCAGGTCCACTTGATGCGGCGATGACGAAGGCGGGCTGCAAGTAGAGTTCGGGCTGACTCCTTGGTGAGTCCATCAGCCACTTGACGCTCAGAGCTCATCCACCGAAGCTGGCCACCCAGTTCCTCCATCATCTTCATCACACGGATCTCAAGGCTGACCCGTTTGTCAATCACCGATGAACTGACTCCTTCACGGTGATAGGAGTCATACAAAGCCTTGGCATCAGTCACCATCGTCGGCGTCAAGGTCGACGCTGACTTCAACAAATCCTTCAACTTTAGGTTGGGATGGTGCAGGTAGTGCCAATACTTGCAAGCGAAGTCAATGCTGTCCACAGCTTGTCCTCCAGCCTGGGCCTCTGCAGCCAGTGAGCTTCGGGTGACCCTTGGAGTGCGGAAGCTTCGCCAGTCCAGTACGCGATACTCGCCATCGTCGCCAGAAGTGAACAACTGTCGGTTGACGAACATCAGGATGTAGCCACCTTGCGAGCTGCCGTCAGACCTGGCAGTGAAGCCAGCATCAAAGAAGCACAAAAGTTGCAGTTCGCTGGGGTGTCCAATGAAGTTGTAGTATAAACTGACATCCTTGTGTTCCTTGGCGAACTTCAAAAGCCGATTGCAGTCGTGGACGGTCTGTGTGGTGGCCTTGTTCACTTGTCCTGACAACATCGAGGTCGAGCACTGAAGGTGAGGCGAGGTCTGCACAGCGGGCCACTGTAAAGAGCCAAGGATGCCGCGGACTTGAGTGATGCCTTTCTCATCAAGCGGCTCTTGCAGATCACGGTGCTTGGAGATGGTGATGGGCTTCACCTTGCTGAAGTAGTTTTCCTGATGCAGGCGTCTGCCACCCTCAGGAGTGCGCTCCAGCTCACATCCACAGTACTCCAGCTTGTCATTGTCCTCCTTCCACTCTCGAAATGAGAAGGTCGTGCGCAGCATGTCGGTGACTGCTTTGTACCTGGGAGAACGAGGACATCCAGCACCCAACATGTCATCAACGTGCATGATCACCATGCCGCATAGTTTCTCGGGGCCAAGAGTGCTGGTCTCCTTGTGGATCGGATCATCATCGGAGTACTCAGGATCGTCCTTCTCGTAGATGAGGAAGGCACATGGATCCAGTGGATGTTGTCTCAAGCCTGCCCTCAGCAAACGACCGACTGCCTCCAAATACCAACCACGAGGGGCATCTGTCTGGCCGTAGCAGGGTTTCAACAAAAGCATCCTCGTGTCATCTGATGCGCCCAACAGCTGAAGTGCTTCTGCAGGCAGCTTGACCCAGAGCTTGCGGGTCTGTGGACGACCTTGGAGGAAGGCAGTGCTGACGTCTGCTGTCCAAGTTGGCCAGCGAAGGTTCGCTGCAAGTGACAGGACCATAGATCTCGACAACCGTGTCGTCGTTGGAGAGGATGTAGGAATCGTTCCTGCCAGTGCGTCCGGGTCGGCAAAACCGCGAACGATCAACCGGGCCTTCGCCCGTGGGGTGCCATCTTCATTCTTTGACCACTTGAGCAAAATGCGTGAGGTCAAAGTACGGGCTTCATCAGCTTCAGCAGTCGTCTGAAAAGCCCAGACTCCATGGTCGAAGAAGGACTTGAGCTCCTTGACTTTTGCCTCCTTGAAGAGGGCACGCTCATGTGGACCAAGGAGTCTCTCATTGACTCCACTCTTGTCTTTCTTGAACTTCTTAATTGAGATTGGACTTCTTCTGCTCTTTGGCCACTTGTCGAGCGCTGGTGCGAACCATGGGAGTGCTGGTGTACATAGCCATCTCGCGTCGGGCAGTGCCGGAGAGTTGGAAGATGGTGGTGCCTGTCCATGCTCCTTTGGTGTCATCGGGAGGTGAAGTGACCGTTCCGTCATCGGTGTAGAGCTGGCTCCGGCCATTGGCCTGATGCACCATGGTGATCTTGAGTTGATCAAGCTGGTCCGGGTTGATCGGACAATCTTTGGGCAGGTGCTCAATGTGCATGCGGCCTCGGCGAGGGATCATGTGGTGACGGATCAAACATCCTGCTTTGAGCTCCCAGTAATCTGCAATCTTCTCCTCAAGCTGCAGGTAGCCCTGTTCATCCACTCGCCAACCAGATGGCAATGACTTGGCATCCAGGTTCTCAATGAAGAACGCTTGGCCATCGAGCTGCTCTGGTGCTGGTAGAGGTGGAGCATGGGCTTCTGTGGCTCCCGTTGATTCCGCCGTGGGATACGGTGGTTGTCCATGTTGAGGTCGACGGCGGAACGGAGCAAAGCTCAAGGTCTCCTGCCTGTTGAACCGAAGTCGTTGCTGTTGGAAGGTCTCAGCTGGTTGTGATTCATAAAGTGCTGCAGTTGCTGGATCCAACGTGGGCTGCGGCTGAGTTGTTGGAGGTCGTGGTGCCGGCGTGGATGGCATCGAAGGTGCCACTGGCGGCTCCTCACTGGGTTCCTGGCTAGGTTCGGAGATCACCTCATCATCATCGCCTGGGACCGGAGGTAGTGATGTGGTTGCCTCTGCCGCTGGGCCTTCTTCCAGCGCAGTTGGTGCCACGGATTGGGCTGGTGCTGGTTCATCTGGCGGCGGTGAAGCTGGCGGTGCCTCAGACGGAGCTGGAGGTGGATCCATTGAGAGCCGAGGTCTGCGGCGAGGAGGAGTCATTTCATGTTCTGACTCCGTGTCGAGCTGTGTGCCCTCGCCTTGTTCATCATCCTCGACATCGGCCAAGTTCTGCCGGTTGACTCGATGAAGGTCATAGAACCGCGTGACTCCTCTTGACTTCAACTGCCTCACCAGGTTCAGAGCATCCCTCGTGTCTTCGATGGAGTGGTTGAGGTTTCGTACATCGGCTCGAACATGATGAGGAGCGCAGCGAATGAGCTGGGTCTTGTAGGCGAGCCAGTACACCGAGACGGGACTTTCTGAGTCTTCAGTGTTGGGTCGACGCTCCTTCATCACGACCTTGGCAGGTCCCAACCATCGAATCTTGACTAAGTCGGGTTGGCGAGCGTCTCTCCAGAACCATACTTGCTGACCCAGGGCATACTCTGAGTTGATGCCCTTGTATTTCAAATGAAGTGCTCTTCGAAGACGTCGGTCAGCATCTGCATCATTGAGGGCTTTGCGAGCGGCATGACGCTTTGTGAGCATCTCCTCAAAGGTCTGGTTGCCTCCAAAGTGAGCAGGCTGCGTGGCATCAGACAGCACGTCACCAGCAAGCGAGGGCTGATAGCCAAGCACCCATTGTGAAGGTGAGAATCCGGCAACACCTGGCATGCTATTCAGCTGCGGGATCACATAGCTCAGGGCCTCTTGGATGGCTGCAGGTCCATCCATCTGGAGGTCGTTGAGGTAGACTTCAACTGCTTTGCGAATAACGGCGTGTCGCCGCTCCACAATGGCCAAACGCTCATGAGCTTCGCCAGGCGCCACAACATGCTTGATCTGGTGTGCAGCTGTCCATTCATCCATTTGTGAACTGAGCCAACCACGACCCTCGTCGGTGATCAGTGTGCTGGGAGGACCGTAGTGTGCAATCCAAGTGCGCTCCAGGGCCTTGACATAGTTGTCAGTGTGCTCGGACTGAATGAGTGAAGCTGCAGTGTAGCGAGTCGCACTGTCAACCAGGCTCATGATGGCATACTTCACGGTGCCGCGACGAAGCCACATGACATCAGCTTGTAGCACCTCGTTGAATTGGCTTGTCGTGGGCATAGATGCTGGAGCGGCCTGAGCCGGTTTCTTGTACTTTGCACAAGCCAGGCAGCGATAGGACTTGGCTGCTTGCAGAATGGCCTCGGAGGCTCCTCTGGCTTCCAGTAGCTCCCCTAGGGCCTGTGGTGAAGGATGACCCAAGTTCCGGTGCAGGCGCTGGACTGTTCGAATGGCGTCCTGCTTGGTCTCGCTTCGTAGCATGACCAGGGAGCTGGTGGTTTCACGTTCATCTTCGGCAGCATGTCCAGTCTCCCAGAAGGCAGGAGGCTCATCGACGGCCAAGGCAGCTGCAAGAGTAGCGGCCAAAGCAGGCTGATACTCCTCCAAGTAGCGAGTTCTCGAACCAAAGCCAGGTGCTGCTCCTTCCAAAGGACAATGCTCGTGATCGTGCTGACACTGCAGAGACATGGCGTCTTGAACCGAGCGCTTGGTGGTGAGCAGCGATGTATGCTTCTGCACTGGTTTCCATGTTCCATCGGTGTCCAAGCATTGAGCACCATATCGACATTGAGAAAAATCTGCACGGCGTCCTGGTAGATCTCGGAGTGCACGGGTGTTCCAGGACAAGGCGTTCTTGGGCTGCTCGACTGTGACGTGTCTTCCTCCACTGACCTGAGCCAAGTAGACACGCCGCACAAACCTCAGGTGACGGTCATGATGATGGTGTCGGGCCGCCTTCAGTGCTTCTCGCTGGGCTGGAGTTCTGCGGCCTAAGGTCTGCATGCGGCTCCACAGCTTGCACTCTGGTGCCATCAACAGTTCATCAGGGGCTTCCTCCTCCAAGAGGCGCATGAACTCGTCCTGGTGGTTCAGCAACTCGAAGTCCCACCCAGTCTCGTAGGAGAAGGTGCGAGTTTCCATGCCCATACTTTCAGCCAGCTGAGCAGTGCGAGCCTTGCCACAGTAGATCTCCCATAGGATGCGGGGACGTTCAGGACGGTGAAGCTCCTTCGTGACATAGGCCGACAGGTCATTCAGCTGAGTGGCCAACTGTGTGTCCATGGTCTTCAGCTCATGCTTTCGAAGAGGCCGGGTTGAAAGTGAGTGCACTGGCTCATCAATCTTCTCGAAGGAGGTGAAGCCATGTTCCTCAGCCATGAAGTCTTTGAGCAGGAAGCCATCATTTTGTTCAATGCCCTGATCATTTGTCCTGAGCACAAATTCCGGCTTCTCCGGGTGGTAGTGGACATTGTCATGCTCATTGGTGAGGGACCACAGGTATTCACCTTGGCGACCAAGAGTGGCCGACATCCAGGGCGAGCTTCCAATGCGAAGACGGCGTTGAGCAAAGTCCATCGTCATGCCCAAGGCCTCGATGATCGGCCTTCCACACAACATGGGCGTGTTGCCCGGAAGCAGGAACAACTCAATCGTGCCATACTTGCCATCCACGAAGGTGGGAACATGGGCTGACCAGTCGGACCACAAGGATGCGTCGCCACCAAACTGAAAGCGACGTCGGCCCTTGCTCATCTTGATCTTTTCGATCGGGAAGTCCAGGGAGCGCAAGTGGTCCAGGAACCTTCTGAACGGTCCATAGCCTGAGAGAAAAGCACTGGCACCTGGGTCCAACATGACGCACTCGGGACGTTCAGCTCCTGTGGCATCTTGGAAGATCAGCAGGGCACTCTCCTCAGCGGCGGGAGTCATAGCCATAGCTTCTGTGGTCGATGCAGGTCGTTTGACACCAGCTGATCGTGCCGAAGGACTTGACGACGATTGGGGGCAGTTCGCCGCCCAGTGGCCTGGCTGGCCACAGCGAAGACAGGTCATGTTGGCCTTCGCTCGTCCCTTGGGATCCGATTTGCCAGCTCCTTGTGGTGGATATCGGATGGTGGTTTTGGACTTTCCACCTTTTGACCCACCCTTCCCTTTTCCTTTTGTTCTCCAGGAAGTGGGCGACTGCGGTGATGTAGCCGTGGGTGAAGTGCTACCACCATCAGTGAGCGCCACAATGGGAAGGTATCCACGAGCTGTCTTCAATTCCTGAAACCGTCGTCTTGCGTCCGTGTAGGAGGCAAAAGCAGCATCGTAGGCGGCAGCCATCTGTGTAGGGTTCTGCTGCTCTTCCGTTTCAGGCCAGGGATCCTCCTCACCATAGTAGCCAGCGTCGTGGTCGAAGTCCTGGCCATCATCGTAGAGGTCATAGTCCTGAGACTGCGGATCATCGGCCCAAGACTCATCTTCTTCATAGTAGCCATACTCCCATCCTTCATCTTCCTGGTGCGGGTCTTCCTCATAATCTTCAGCAGCATAGGCACGATGCTTCCAGGAAGGGGAGTGGCCTCCGAACCGTCGGTTCCGCTCTGAATTCCATCCACCACCTTTATAGTCCTGGCCCAGGATCAAGTACATCGCCTCAATCACCTCAGTCTTCTCCAGGTTGGGTGCACGAAGGGTGATGAGCTGTCGTTGTTCACGGGTGAGGCCAGAACGGCGGAGTAAATGCCATCCTTGAACGGAGGGAGGAAGCTCAATGCGGTGTTGCTGCAACTTTCTATAAGCTTCTTCATGATCGGCAACAAACAGCAAAAGTGTTTGACCGGGGGTGCGTTGCAGCAAATTGAAGTATGACTCGAAATCAGTGGGCAGCTGAACTTTGGTGTCATAGGCGAAGTTTGCATCCAGGGTGGCAATGACCTTCTCAAAGGCTTCTCCTTTCTCTAGTTCTTCATGCCCCCAATCCTGAAACAACCGCCAAGTGACACCGGTGAAGGAGCCCACGATGTTGAGGACACTCTCTGTCGACCGCTTTGTCAATGCCATCTTTCTGTGGTAAAGATGGATGCGAGCTCTCCACTCCCGATAGTCGGCCGGCTGGCCGGAAAACAGCGGCACGAAACTGTCCCTCAAGTCCATGAACGTGCCATCTTTCGAGCTCTGACCTGAGCCTGCGGATTGGGCCTTCTTCGAGGCCATGGTGACGTTCTCAGGGACGTAGGGCTCTGCACGGGCGTAGTGCTGGAGTAGAGGGAACCACCATGCAAGAGCGAGAACAATCAAACCCACCGTAGGTCTCAACCAGGACAAAGAGCTCGTAGTCGCGGAGTGCACAGGCAGGGAGCCACCAGACCGGTGGCTCCGCTACCAATGTAAAGAAGTAGCCGTAGCACACGAAGTCCACGGCGAGCAAAACACGAAGCAACGACGAGGTCGAAGCGGGGAAGGCGACTTAACGCCACACGCGGCCTTTTCCAAAGGCTTCTCGAGCCCACCCTCTACGGTGGGATATAGTTGGTTTGAAAAAGAAACTCATGACATGACATGTCAAACATGGCGCACAGCGTGCGTCTCAACACAGTCCATAAACCAGAATACACAGCACTTTTAGAAATCATCAGAAGACGCATGTCCAACCCCCCCTTTGGACCTCCAAACAACCAAACTACCGATGCTCCACCCAAAGCAGCCGGCGGCTTCGGTGCGGGCGACTCGTGATCGGGTGGAGGACTTGAGCATTGACGAGCATCACGAAGAGAGTACTCGAGCTGCAGAGGCCGGTCGGAGGGCTCGAGGCGAGTCGGGTTAGTACGTGGAAAGAACAGGCAAGGCGACCGATATATCCCAAAACCATCCAAAACCTTGTCGGCACCTTTTGGGAAGATTTGGGGAGTGTACCCACCCAACAAGAGGCAAGAACAGATGGAACGTTTGGTGAACCGTCCAGGCAAAAGGCTCGAGAGTCAGGAGACACTCAGTGTATGTGTGGCCTTTTTGGTGCGGCTGTATGGCGGCCTGGTTGGGGGGCTGCACAGTAGTGGTTGGCCATGCTTGGCCCAAGGGATGTCGCTGGCAGAAGGTTTGGAATGGTTTGGAGTTTCGGAAGGAAGGTGGTCGACTTCTTGTGTGAAATCAGACATCCCAAATACGTGGGCTACATGGGAAGTTGACGGGAGTAATCGAGCCATGCATGTGGCTAGTGAATGGACTACCGGCTGTTGCGGAGTGCTATGACAAGTGATATGCGATCGATGAACTCTGAAATTCTGACATGACACGCTAAAGCGTTGCCTCACTCCTTCATCCTAATTCAGCAGATACCACACATGGTGACCTGAGTGATCAGTTGTGAGTAGGGTGGTGATAAGATGTGAGCATGGTATGCCATCCACTTGTTGGCTCCCACAAAACCCTTGGAAGGGTCACCCTTCAAAGGGTCCAGGTGGCACCATGCCACCCGCAGTCGACCGCAGCGATCAGGCGACCTTCGGCAGCTCCATCCAGCGCCACGATCAGGAGAGCCGAGATAGAGCCATCCAGCAGCCGGAGTGTGCTGCTGCTGTTGTGGTTGATTGTTTTCTTTTTTTTGGGGGGGGCAGGGGCAGAGGCATCCAAGGACCCGCCAAACGGTAGGAACACACTGATTTCAACTGGGCTGTGAAGCGGATGAAGATAGATGAAGTCAATGGAACTGGAAGGGAGCAGTGCATTTGGTGCAACTGGTATCCACATCCTCAATGTGCAAGAGGTGGGAATGGGATCAGAAACATCCACAATGCAAGTGTCAGGCGATTCCAGAGCTAGCCGGCCAAGACCAGCAGCGTTTGGCTGTTTGGGAACAGGTGATTTGGTCCGGAGAAGCTTTGCCTGCAAGAAGTCAGGCAAGAGCGGACCAGACCCTCCAACAGGTCACCAATTGGGACCTGTTGGAGGGTCCTAGCACTGGATTCCTCAACCAGAACTATTCTTGGAAGTTTTCTCAGATCCCAGCACGAGGTATTGGGTGTACCGTTGATATTTGCCACCCAGATGGTCTTCCTGATCAAAAGTGACACCCATCAACACAAATAAGTGTTCTCCTCATACACTAAGTGAACACATCATGTCAGTATTCAAGTTCCTTTTTGAGAAGCCGCGCCGCTGGAACCACCATGGCCACGAGGAGCTGCAAGCGGAAAGATCTGAGAGTTGAAGTCTCACCCAACTTGGATCCTGTTGGCCAACGGATTAGTAAGAGGAATGGATGACCAAACCTGGACTGAAGTCATCCTGAAGGACAGCTGCTTTTGACCGTATTTTTGCTGTATCTATTGTAGGGATCAAGATCTATCCGGACACTGGTCGGCCTTCAGGTGTACAGCAGTGCTATGCACTTCTCACTTTGGATTCAGACCATAGCGTGGTCTGCAAAAGCCGCCAGTGCCGCGAAGAAAGCCGCCACTTTGGATGCAAGATGATGCACGCAACAGTCAACAAGATCATCGTTTGCTGTATCAACAAGATCATCGCGATCATCGTTGGGAATTCCATCTCTGACTCATCCAGACAACGGTCGAGTCAGTGCGGTGGAGTCGGCTCGACGGTCGAGTCAGCGATTTTCATCTCGCTTCACAGAGCGACGCGTGCCCACATTGATTCCCTCAAGCACCCCAACTGATTCGGCAAATAATATATGGCAGTTTGAGTGGCAGTTTGATGGAGTGTTTTAGATTGCTTTCACAGTTCAACTCCTCCTACGAACACTTCCGGGGTGCTGTGAGACTGGTCCCCAATTTCTTTGTTGAAATCTCAGGCATTTCACAGATTGGAACCCGGTTTTTCTGACCATTTGTAACCTCCAAAGAATTTGATGCCAACGAAACTGAGGGTGTGTTAATTTGTTGAACGAGGGTAAGTGCAGGACAAGGAACAGCATGCATGGACCCATGGACCCCTTTCCAGGGAGGAGTGCTTCACAGCATGCAGGACAGCAGCAGATGTTTAATTACTGGATTGGTTTGATTTGGTTTGCTGCCCTTTCTTTGACCTTTAGGCCCCTTTGTTGGGCCCCTCCATCGCCATGGATGGCGCAGCTTTGCAGATCCCAAGGTCCGTGGGGCGGTGATCGATCCACGATTTGCTCCAGAGACCCCAGTAAGTCCTGGCGAAGCAATGCAAAAGACCATTCTTAGCTACGCCGTAAGTGTTAAGAGGGGGCTGTAAGTGTTAAGAGGGGGCTGTCAATCTTAATATTGATATCCAAGAGTCTCTTTCGGATTCTTTCGGGGGTTGTAGTTAAGTTGATTCAGTCCTGCCTTTGCTTGACATGGAGACTTGACGTGTCCACTGTGCATACTCACCGCGCGTTGAATAGCGCGCCTCTCGTCTCGTCCGTTGCGACCATCATTGCAGATCGCCATGACTTTGACGGTGTATGTCCGCGTGAAGGGTGGCGAATTTGGGGAGCTCTTGGCGCAAGTGTTCGTCCGCAGTTGAGGCCCAACAAACGGCCCAATGCCTGGCATCAATTGGTGATACTATCTTCAAAGCAGTGGGGGCATCCCCCAAAACCACCACAGTATCCAGGAGATATCGGGATACGACTTAGTGAGCACATGAGACTCATAAGCTCATGTCTTTGTTCCAAAATCTTCCAAAGCTGCTTATCAGCAACTCCCACATCACATTCCACACCTCCCAAGAAAAGAGATTCTCTTCCCATCCCCTTGGGCGCCCCCGCCACGCCGTCGATGCCCATGGACCCGCGCCCGCGCGGGGTCCCTCCGCTGCGTCTCCATGCCGCTCCGACCGGGCGGCTCCACCCTCCGCCTTCCTCGCTCCGCGTGGTTGGTGCCGAAGGGGCCGAAGGGCCGACGCGGAGGTCCAGTGGCTTGGAGCCAAAGGACGTCCATCTCCGAGGTGAAAGGGATGAAGCCAGACAAGGATCCCTATAGGCCCCTAGGGCTCCAAGTGCAGAAGGTATGACTGGACCATCCTGCCACCCGGGCCCCCAGTCCCACCTCAACCGAAACGAAGCTACGACCGGAGCCGGAGCCGGGGATGAGAAGGGTCAGGTCGTTCGAGGTGTTCTTCCGAAAAATGAAAAGGAAAACGACGGGGCGGCGTCATCTATGTTGGTCGCGAGACCTGCTTCAAGGGAGAGAAGACAGCGCAGAACGGAGCAAGGAACAAGTGGAGATTCATGAAACACGATTGAAGGAAGCAAACTCAAGGGTTTCTAGGCACCAGACTTTGCCCAATATCCTCCAGCACCGATTTTCCTCGCAACGCGGATCCCTACTGGTACCCAGACGCTCCATGTATGGCATATTTAGACGATTTAGATACATTAGGGTGGTTTCAGGGGTCAAATGTAGGTAAATATGTTATACATGGAGTGTGTGGGGTAGGAGATTTGAAAGGTGTTCACATATTATCACGGGCCGCAAGCTTGTTTCAGTTCGTCACCTACTGGTGGCCTTGAAATATGTTCCAAGCCCCAAATGATGCTGGAGCCCTTGGTGGTGTACTCTCCAAGAAACATGGAAGCCGAAATCCTCCTCCATCCTTCTCCCTGGATTCGCTTTGACAGGCAAGTGGGTTAAAGAATGTTAAAGAGGTTTCAGTTTTTGGGCTTGTGCTACACCCATACCTGGAGCCTGGAACACCTACCAAAATCTAGTCGTTTTAGATTGTTTGATCAACCATCAAAAAACTAAGTCCGAAACCTATATGCCGGTGTCATGAAGGGCACTCCAGGGATTCCAAAGTGTATTGAATAACAACACCAAAGTTGCTCCAAACAGTTGAGCGTTTGCTTCGTTTTGTTGATCGTTTGCGTTGTATTTTTGGTAGTTATTGTTTCAGGTGGTTCACACAGCGGCGTTGTGTTTCTAGTCGTTTGTGTTGTGTTTCTAGTCGTTTGTGTCATGTTTTTTTTTTTTGAATGTTGTGTTGTGTGTTTTAAGCGTTTGGGTGTTTGCAACTCATTTCTGGCAAGGTGTCCAAGCCGAAAGCTGTCCTTGATTTTTTTTGTTTGTTTTAGCCAAACACTCAAAAACAGAACACCAATGCCATGTGGCGGTTGAAAACTGATTGGCACTCAAAAAAACGCTGATGGTTTGGGGTCCCAGGTAGACATCCATAGACCACATATATACATCCGCAGACTGACATTGAAACATATTGAAACTTAATGATAGATTTTCCCCTTCAGTAATTAGACCAACATTCTTCAATAGACCAACATTCACCTTCAGAGAGAAAACATCCATTAAAGAAGCCACCCAAAAAAAATCCAGGGAATAAAGAATCAACAAACAACACCAAGATAGCTCGGGTGGGACCCCCTGCCGCTGCCGAGCTCCGTAGGTTTCGAGGGCTTTGGGACGGTGGTATAAAAGTATAACGGACTTGTTGCTTGAGGTTGTCGATATCTTATTTTTGCCCCAAAAGGACAGAGAATAAAATCAGAGAGGGAGAGAGAGGTCTCAAGGAAGCCTTCGATTTCGTGGTCACTTATTTTGTGGACCGTGGAGGGGCGATTTTTCTGATAGAACACCTATTAAGATATTTATCCAGCCTGCCAGACCCATGGGACTGGTATATTTACCGATCAATTGGGGTGACCAGGAAAAACCATATGAGTCGATGTGTGGTCGTATTCAGACCGCATTGCATTGCATCCGTTCACCACTCCATTCACCTTCTAGCGACCTTCCACGATGCTTGAGGCATCCCACTAGCCTCTTTGGCGAGTCTTCCCTGCCTGCAGCGGCGACAAACGGCCGTGCGCACGGTGCGCACGAGGAGGAGGAGACGTGACGAGACGGTCGAAGAGGCCAATGCGCCGGACGAGACGGTCGAAGAGGATTCCTTCCAGATTGAGGTGGAGGAAAACAAGAGATTGGATGTGCTCCTTTCAGAAGCTCAGTCGCCCCCTTTAAAACGCCGGCGCGGAAGCGTCCTCGGATCGGGGTTGAAGGTGAGTCAGACCTTCCAACTTGAGCAAGAGACATGCACAAAGAATAAGATATTTGCATGATTGCATGACCTAGACCCTAGCTGTTGCTCTGGAGGGAGCAAAGCAGCCGGGGGTTTCCATATTATCACACATTCCCCATGAAACAGGGAGCCAAGAAGCTACAGGGAGTTCTCCAACCCTTGCTAGCAGAAGAAACATGAAGAAACTAGATAAAGATCCATGCCATTTTCCTTGATGTTTTAGTGCATCAATTCTCCCTCTCCTTTTCTCGTAACTTCTGGGCCAAATCAACCTCGCTGAGCGAGAAAACCCGTGGCTCAAAGTGTCACCAGATCTCCCAGGAACGCTATGAGCAGTCCCGGAGCTACTTCGATGCGCTGATACAGCAGGGTGCGGTCAAGGTGAACGGCCGCTGCCGCAAGAAGTCGTTCCGGAAATTCCAGCAAGGAGCAGCTTGGATGGATTGTGGGGAGCGACCCCCGAATCGACTTTCCATGCCTGAAGAATCCTGAAGGATATGAGTCGTTTTCAACATTATCGTCATCACTTTATACAAGGGCGGTTCATCCAAGAGTGCAATGCTGTTTTTGTCCTGTACCCCTATTGTTATATGCATTAGTTCCTTGAGTTGTTTGAGTTTGTTTTGGTATATCGTCCTGCTACAGCAACTCTTCTGAGCGTTTGTCAAGGGTCTGAAGGGCGTCCTTCATGAACTGGTTTGTTCTTGCAAGTGTCACGGGCAATTAGGGATTGTGAACGCTTGTATTTGGAGGGCTGTGTCCTGGCTCTTGGCTCATGGGCTGGCCCCAGCCTATGAGGAATGGCTAGGCCCGGGCTCCACCACTGAACAGGGTACGCGCCTTTGTCCGCCTGTCGTTGTTTGGAAAGGGGTTGTCTTCTCTTTGGTGTAGTGTGAGCGCAGCACGTGTGCTTACAAGCAGCTTGATGTTTTAAAAGTCAACATCATAAAACGATACCCAAAACGACACCCCAACGATACACAAGAGAGTGCAAAAGGGAAGCTCTTTAGACACATGGGCAAGTCTGCCCAATAATGCGTTGGTTCGTCTTTACAGGCTTATAAGGGCGTTGGCGTGCGCACAATTCGTAATTCAGATTGCGACTGCGACCCCTCATCAATCGCACAAAAAAGTAGAACTCACGCGTGCGATATCGTTGCGCAGGTCTACGCGCAGATGGACGTGACGGCAACGCAGCGATTTGAGGCAATTGCACAATATCAAGAGGGACTGCATGTATGCTTAGCCAGCAGGCAGTCTCCGACTCCCGTAATGTTGACTCTTGATTAATCAACCCCCCCCCTCAACAACCAAGGCCTCCAAAATAGTATACCAGGAAACCAATCAATTGATTAATAAATAAAGAATCCTTACTTAGCTACCTCTGGAGCTACTCTGGCAATACTAAAAAGAAAGGAATCAAGAAACCTAACTTTGAAGACTTCTGGAATATTTACATGAAAAAGGATCAATGAAACCTCAGATTGAAGACATCTGGAATATTACAATAAAAGGGAATCAATGGAAATAGAAATGGACATGCAACTAATTCTTTAAATTTCAATGGAAATCTGAACCGAAAGACCTGCAAAATCTTTTTTAATCCTCATTAAAATCTTCTTGGTCTTCTCCGGCAATATTAAAAATGAAAGGAAATCAATGAACTCTCAAATTCGAGACTTCTGGAATACTAAAACAAAAAAGAAATCAATAAAGTGGAAATGGAATTCCCAAAATTTAATGGAAAGCTTAAAGACTAAAGAGCTTAGGTAAGTAAAGCAAATCAAACGGAAAAGAAAGGGAATGATTACAAGTTTACTTAAAGCAACATTTTTTGTTTAAGCCTGAAATCCCTAGACATTATTCTAGGGCCCCCCCTAAATAATGTCAGAAAGCTGCTTGCTGGACTACCCCCTTTGCTTGAATGATTATTGGTTTTTTCAATACGTTTTAATAAGGGATTTTGTAAAGAAAGTGTGCACTGACTTTTGGACACTTTTGGAAAGCTTAAAGACTAAAGAGCTTAGGTAAGTAAAGCAAATCAAAAGGAAAAGAAAGGGAATATAGTGACGGACAATCACTTAGAACAAATCGGTGAAAAATAAACAAGAAAATGGAGCTGCTAAACCCTAGACTTAGAACATGCAAAAACCTAACACTTAGAACATGATAAATCCATCACTTAGAACAAACAGAGCTCATTTTTGAAAATTATTCTAAAATTATCTGAATTTGTTCTAAATGCTTGTCCGTCACTATTCAAGGTTGGGTAAACATTTGACGCGATTGGGTTGAAATGCTGTAGGGTCGCCACTAGGAGCAAGGATGCTACTAGGGGCTCCTGGCCTTACTACTAGGAACAAGGTTCTCTACTAGTAACAAAGGGCATCGCTGCTAGGGGCAAGGATGCTACTAGGGGCTTGTACACGCAGCTTGATCCGCCGTTGCCGGCGCCTAATGAAGCTCCACCAGAAGAGCTTCCACCAGGAATGTCTACATTCCAATATGGGTTTCTTGACATTTTGCTGGATGCTGGGATGTTGCGATGTTCTAAGCGTGGGCTGCAGGAAGGGTTGAGAATGGTTTGGACAACCCCTCCACCAAAGTAAAACTCACAAAAACTGGTGGTATTGGTACAAAGGCTGTCACAGGTTGGTATTGTTTACAGTCTACTTCAAAGCTTTGAGCAAGTTTACCGGAGGTTCTAAGTGCGGGTCCTAGCTGCCAGGGGTGCAAATTGCAACCCCCAGTAAAAACATGTTTCATGTACTAATATATATATATATATATACAGGTCATTCGCGGGATGCTCGAGAATCATCTACAGCAGTACCCCAAAGATCGATTATGGAAAACCCAGCTCGACCGCGTGGTCAGTGCACAATGCACAAAGGCGTTCTAGACATGGATGTGTGAAGATGTCAGCCTGGTGGGCGAATGCTTGCGCATTCTTTCTGAGTAGCTGCACAAAAGTACATGTTCCATTGTGGTAGAGTTTTCCTCATTGTTACCCTGCAAACAGGTTTTCTTGGATGTTCTATGTGCAGTATCACTGCAGCATCACCACCTCTCACCATTGACAGTAGTTTGTACAGCATGCCAATACTTACTTATACTTTAATATATTTTTCATATAACTTATATAACATAAGTCTAGCATACACGTATGAGTATATAGTTATACACACTATTTCATTGTGGTGGAGTTTTCCTCGTGATTACCCTGCAAAATGGTTTTCTTGGATGTTCTATGTGTAGTATCACTGCAGCATCACCACCTCTCACCATCGACAATAGTTTGTACATCATGCCAATACTTACTAATACTTTAATATATTATATTATATATATATATAGTATGACATAAGTATATCATACACGCATGAATATACAATTATATATACACACTATGTCATTGCGGTAGAGTTTTCCTCGTGGTTACCCTGCAAACAGGTTTTCTTGGATGTTCTATGTGCAGTATCACTGCATCATCACCACCTCTCACCATTGACAGTAGTTTGTACAGCATGCCAATGCGTACTTCTATATATAGTATATTATACATGTATGAGCATATAATGATACACACAATTTCTTGGCCTACTAGTGCTGGGGAAACCTCTGCATTCATTAGAAATGCAACACAGGCAGCTTATTTCCACCCATAGGTGTACATAGGCAAAGGCCAACAGAGCTTTTGCAGACTCTCAATCTTGGTTGCCCAGGTATGTTTTTCCTACTATCATGTACTGATATGTACTTACTAGCTGCATGACTGGTAGGCACGGATGTTCTATGTGAAGCGCTACAACAGGTGATTTCACTTGCGCGGGCAACCCAATCCATGAGCATTGATAATTAACTATATAGATCAGAAGTCACTAGAACTTTTGCAGCTTCCAGTGTTGTCATGATATGAGATACTCTGCAAGCCAGCTTGTCCAACCTTCTCTTTACTTCACCTTTTCCCCAGCATGATAGAGATCAGCGTGTACTTTGTAATTCTATTTAGTTTTGCTGGTTTTTGGCAGCAGCATGCTGGAAGCACGTTCCCAGGCCAAAAAGGCACGAATGCAGCATGCTTGTTTTGGGGAAAAAGAGCTGGATGCAGACAGAAAGCTGAATATTGTGCCTACATATATGCACATATATATATATATGAACGTGTATATGTTCTAAGTGCAGGATTTCCATTGTTCTAAGAGCAAGGCTTAGAACGTTTTTTTTGTTCTATGTGCTGGGTCCTCGGCATGTTCTATGTGACGCATTTCTTTTGGTGAAAAAAACTATGTTCTAAGTGATTGTCCGTCACTATAAATACAAGTTTACTTAAAGCAAAATAGTTTTTAAACCTGAAATCTCTAGATATTATTCTAGGGGCACTCCCTAAATAATGTCAGAAAGTTGCTTGCTGGACTACCCCCCTTGCTTGAATGATTATTTGTTTTTTTCCATACTTTTGAATAAGGGATTTTGTAAAGAAAGTGTGCACTGACTTGGGAAACGTTTGGAAAACTTAAAGACTAAAGAGCTTATGTAAGTAAAGCAAATAAAAAGGAAAAGAAAGGGAAATCTTCAAATGTTTAATATAAATCTCAATCCAAAAGCCTCCAAAAGCATCAAATCTCAATGGAAATCTTCAATTTTTTAATAGACATCTCCTCCATCCAACAGCCTCCAAGAGCATCAAATCTCAATGGAAACCTCCAATTTTTAGTAGAAATCTCCATCCAAAAGCCTGTAAGATAAGCAAACCCCAGCAAACTCAAAAAGGAAAAATAAACTATAACAATTAAACATATTCCACTACAACTATCCCTGCAAAAAAGACATTATTCTGGTGGCCTTTATTAATCAGGAAAAAGACATTATTCTATAGGGGCGTTTATCAATCAGAGGACTACATTAAACCCCCTGCAAGACGGTGCTTTAATCTCCTGGCGGCAATCGAATTGGCAGGGCCGGATTTGGATGCCACGGGTCAGCTGCCGCGGGCAAAGCCCTGTGCGAACAATTTTACCGTAAGCGGACCCACAGAAAAGGCATAATCCAACGCGTTCCCCTGGACGAGGCTGGGGCCATTTAAAAACAGCCACTAGAGGTGCTTACCGGCGTCGCCTCCCAAGGAGGGTGGCGCAAAAGGCCCCTGAACACAGCCCGCTCATTGCAGGACAATCAAGGTGATCGTTGGGCTTTGGCAGCTGGTACAATGAGCCGGTTCGTAAAGATGGTGTTCAGGCTTCATCGAGTCATCGAACAGAATACCTGTGACCAGCTTAGTGGGTGGACACATCCTACAAATCAATTTGACGAATAGGACCCTGGATGACTTGGAACATCCCAGATGACGCCTTTGCACGATCCGTTGCCACTTTCGAAGGGTTTTGCCAATTGCTCTTGTTTCAGGACATAGTTGACGTGTCCTTCCTGGTGGATCTTTCAGCCCTTTCTTTAGAGCCAGAAGCCATCGAGTTGGACATACTGTATGAAGATGACGACTTGTTGATCGTGAACAAACCGTCTGGCATGGTCGTGCATCCTGCCCCGGGCAATTGGACCGGGACACTGGTTTCTCGACTTCTCGGCTGTTCCGTGATGACTAATCGAGCAGGAGTCGGAGGAGACACCCAATTATAGGGAGACACCCAACCAATGGGTTTGGGTCTATTTACAGAGGGTTGAAATGGAAGGTTTCACTGTTTTTTTTGACACACACCCTCAGCATCCAATGGCACCTTTGTTTCGGTAAATCGGGTCGCCTGGCAGACGCTCCCAAAAGCGCAACAGGGGCCTCCTCTCCGCTGGAACGATTCATGTTTGTCAGTTGGTATAAAGGTCATGCCGACGTCGGTTTCGAAGTACTAACCAAAGCCTGCAGCATGGCTGCAGAAGCGCCAATGCCATGGTAAAAGCCAACTAAGATTGGAACCAAACAACCGTCTGAGGTGAATGCAGTGTTGCATCATTTTGGTTTCTCATCTGAAGATGTCCATCGATTGCCCACTGCTTGTGGAGCTGGGCCAACCCCTGCTGAGCTTCGCCCGGGCATTGTGCACCGATTGGATGTGGGCACCACTGGTGTGATCGCTGTAGCAAAGACCGATGCTCGGCGGACGCAGGAAACAGATTTGGGGACCATGGTTTGGCTCAAGATTAAGGTCTCACCCTGTCCGTGGAAATACTGTATCTCAAATTGGATAAAAATGGTAGTGGAAACATTATCATAATCACAGAAATTTTGTGTAATGTAAGCTTCCTTTTTTGAGCCACGCACATGCCATTGAGATGATTGTATGAAGGTTGTGTTCACCAAAGAGTGTTTTTTAAACATTGTTGTTTTTGAAGGAGAACGTTGGCGGTCATAATAACATTCAGATGGATTCAGAATGATCCTGGAGAGCCTGGTGTAGTATCCAAGTACATAGATATCCAGATGTTTTTAGCCGAGATCTTCTCAAGAAATGGACACGTAAATTGTTAGTTTGCTGCATGAATCAGGGTTTATTGTATAATGCTAATCCGGTTGATGTGCATGTGTTAGCAATCCACTGTTGGTTCTCAGTCTTGGAACCGAGATATTCTTTGTGTGTAGCCAAGGGCCCAGTCAAAGGTTCACCTTTGAATTTTTGGAAAAAGGAGGATCAAGAAGGGATACTGGAGGAAAAAGAAGATATCCAAAGGAACTCCTTGCCGGAAACCCGGGAACAAATTCATGCCTTCCGGCGTTTTAAGAGCTGGAAACAGAGGGTTCATCTGACCAGGAATCCTTGCCCCCTCATCTGAACAGGGATCCTTACAGTCACCAAAAGGACCCCAAATCCTTTGGTCACTCACCCAAACTCCCTGAAGCATCCGATGCTCCCCTTCATTTGTTTGACCCACTTCCTGTGACGCTGTGCCACTCAGAAGCTCATTCTGAGACCAGGTCGCATCCTTCTCGGTGCTGAGCCAAGCATTTGCTGAGCGTGAAGTGCAAAAGACCTACCTCGCCCTTGCGCTGGGTGGACGCAAGTGCTTCCTGGGGCATCCCCCGGGTGGTGGCTATGTCGTGCCTCGGAACGGATTCTGCACCTGGTTAGTTTGCGGATCGGAGCAGGTTGGAGAAGGTTATTTAGAGAAATCATGAGAAATCCTCAGTTTCCAGTGTGAGTCCAGCCATGCTTGGGCCGCTTGGCAGGGATTCTTGGGGTAATGATCTTGTGAATCAAAGGTGGGGTGCAATCTTTTTGCGTCTCACGCCACGGCCTCCTTTTTCTCACCACACTGCAGTGCCTGAGGTTGACAAAGCAATTGCGCGATCCAAGTCCAATCGACGCATCATGGGCGTTGCAGAGACTGGTGGTCGGCCAGCCTTAAGCCGTGTGAGAGCTCTTGCGAAGGACGGAGAGAAAAGAAAGGGCTTTGGACATGTTTGAAGACCTCATGAAGCCGCGAAAATTAGCCTTTCCCCCCCGCAAAAGTTACCTTCACCTTCTTCGGGAGCCAGGTGGATTGGTCTCCGAAACCAAGAGCGCTCTGGATCGGTTGCCAGCGACCAAGCGGTCGATCCAGGGATCGAGCGCGGCAGGTCCGTCCGGTTCTTTTTTTCCGAGGTTGAAGGACCCAGACATCTCCCTAGGGATCCAAGTACCTTGTCAGGTGATTGGAGACTGCTTATGTAGGTTTGGAGGGTCCAAGTACCTTCTGAGGACGTACGACTGGATCCCTAGGGTCTATAGACTATACTAATAGGGTAGCTCAGGTGACGGGTCCTTTTTCAGGTCACTGGATACCTCTCTTGGTTATCTCAGGTTGACCAGGCCCATACAACTCGGGGACTCAGGGTGTCCTGACTGGACTACCCAGCCCACTACTGTTTGAGATGTCCAGACAGGACACCCAGACAGGATCCAGGGAGGGATGGAGCGGATGTATTTTTGAGAGTTTCCAGGATCAGTCTATGGATTTGCCACCCGTTTTTTTTTTCACTGTGAAGAAGGAGACACTCTTATGGTCTCTTGTGTAAGAAGCTTCAAAGAGTCCAAACACCTAAGCAGGTACTTGGATCTCTAGGTTCCCGGGTCTCTTGAGGGATTTCAGGTAATTATATCACATGATATCACATGTTACTACCGGTACCCATACACAGAGCATCCATGTATGGAATATTGACCCACATTGATGCCTGAAACCACCTCAATGTAGTACAGTAGGTAATTGTGCTATACATGGATGGTCTGGGATATGTACTACCGATGTACGTTGACCAAGGCCTGTTCAACGCAGCTGTTGCTTTTCTACATATTATAACCTAACTCTGCCATCATGTGCGTAGCTGGCCAGATTGGGTTGCATCTTGTTGATTTGGAATCAGCGTGTCTCGAAACAAGAGAACCGCTGATGGTATCACTTGTTGAAAGACTACGGAACCCTCCAAATGGTGTCTTCGGTTTCAAACCATGCGCCGGTTCTTTCAGGATCGAGAGAAGATGTTCGTGGAAGTGAAGCCACGGACCGGGCGGACGCACCAGAGTCCTGGCCAGTTTGGTGCTGACAAGTGTTGGATATATAATACATGGATCAGAATGTCTCCATGTTTTTGGAGGAGAACTCGCAGGTTTGTGTTCGACTTGCATGGTTGCATCATGTTGCATCGACATTCACCAAGCTAGACTATTTCTGTCAAAGATCAGAACCATTTGTTTTGCCGCTTGCCAACTCCCAGGATTCGTGTGCACTTGGCCTCGGAACACACGCCCATCCTTGGGGACGAGACCTATGGCTGGCAGCACATCAATCGAAGAGCAGATGTGCAAAGGCCCATGCTGCATGCATATGAACTCTCCTTGAAACTGGTCTCCAAGATCTGGCAGATCTTTTTGAGTTTTTTCGAGACAGCTTGGCTGTTTTGATTGATTCTGAAGCGATCTTGATTGTTTTGCCCTTTTCAAAGGCCAGCGGCTCATTCAACTCAGCAGCTCCGTTGTGTTTTGTCAGTTCCTGAAGAGATCTTCCGAAAAGACAGACAAAGGGGACTGGCACATTTACCTACATTCCCCCCCTTTCAACCACTCCAGTATATGTTGGATAGATGAACCGGAACTCTGTTTCAGAATCGGCCTGTTGAGGAACCATCCCAGCACTGGCGAAACGATGACCTTTCGAGCACCTTTGCCGGAGGATATGAGGAGCACCAAGCACTCGAGCGAGCACCGTCGGTTTCCTGGGTGGGTTTCCTTATTTGCTATGGAACGAACCTCGGTGAATCATAGGTTCCATCCATTGTGGGACAGAGGTTCGAGGGATCAACAGCGCTGTCGAAAACACACCAAAGGTTTTTGGCCTCACAGTAGACTGGGGCATGTAGAAGCAAAACCCGGAAGCATTCCTTAGATGTTCGGCGCGACCCGGAAAACTCTACCCGTCCCAGCTCCAATGCCACAAAGACCATCTACTTCTTGCAGGAAGATGATGAGTTATATGGAAGCAGAACCCGGGGAAGAAGAGCTGATGCGAGAGCTGTTAGGGGAAAAAAGCAGCGTTTTCGTGCCAATTGGGGTGCTCCGCGATAATCTGATTTCGAATTCATTCAGCAATCCACTGGATGGATATACCCATGGAAAAAACACAAAGAGTCATGTATGGCGATGTATGGTATGTTTGACTGCAGTGACAGTTGAAGCACCCTGAAAAAGGATTTTTGGCAATTGGCAAACGGCAAATAGCATCAAATAGCCAGAGATATTCCATGTACAGATGATTGTTTTTTCAACAAACAGTTCACACATGTTCACGGAAACTGCCAGAACCCGTGTGAACCTCAACCTCCGCGTTGTTTGACTCAATGTTGACACAATCTGGTTGTGTTGAAGCATGGTCCAGATGGTTCCAGGGGAAGTGCCCACTTTGGCCAATCAACACCATTTGCACTGGAAGGAGACAGCAAGAGATTCCATAGGTATCCAGTTACAGTAGATTTCCTAGAGATCCCTAGAGATCCAAGTACCTTCTCAGAAGGTGATTGGAGACACTGTTCTGTAGGCTTGGAGGGATTAAAGGAGTTTACCATTACATGTTTGTACGCCTGTGTTTCATTCATGGCGTAAGCCAACGCTCTTTCCTAGTCGCATTGTTCTGCCAGGGATCGATGGAGCCCTTCCGCTGCTTCGGCGCCTTGGTCAGCGCTGCTGCTTACGCTGCGTCAGGCGCTCGGGTCAACGGGTCGCTCATAGGTTGGTTTGGAGGTTAGAGGGATTGAAAGGATCTCACAGATTTATATGCTACAATCCTGGAACCCCAGTCCCAACCAGAAACAAATGGATGTTCCAAATTGTTCCAATATAGCTTGCTTGGGATCCTTGACGCAAGTGGCAAGCGGCGGTGAGGTGGTTTTTGAATTGGCCGCTGGGCCGCTGGCCAGTCACTGAACCTCAGCACATGACGTGGCTTCACCAATTGAAGGACATTTCGTCCCACGACACACCATGACCACGACCATGCTTTGGTCTTTCCATTTCGAAGCCTGACAGGGTCGTCCAGTTGAATGGACCGACCCGGATATCGCTCGTCGCGTCGCGTCGTTCGCCGTTCGATGAGCCAGGGCACGGCATAGCGATGCCGTGGCGAAGAGCACGACGCGCAGGTGGCTCGGAGAGCTCGGAAGGGACTTTTGCTTTAAAATAGGCAGGGATCATGGCCCCTAAAGGATGACCATTTTCAGAATACACAGGTGGTGCCATCCGCTTCCATGATCACTTCCAACCACCATTGATTTACTAGCATTTTATCACTATAAAGCCAGGTCAATTATGTTTAAAATGATCTTGGAAGGCAGGGCCTGGGGCCGGTAAATATGTCAAGGAGTGTAAAAGGGAGTCAAGTTTTAAAAGGGGAAATCATTCAAGTCCAGTCCCGTGTCCTCGACAAGCGTCAGAATTCCGGACAATCTGGGTGTCGGGCTCATCTTCGGGTCTTTCGACCTGGTTTTCACACCCCTTGCCTCATGGGGCGGATCCCATCATCTTAGCCATGTCAATTCCGGTTTTCAGACCCTTCCGTCGTTGCAGGGCACGGACAGCTCGCTCGGAACGGCCGAACCCTCGCGTTCACCGCGTTGCGTTCACCGCTGTCCTCTCGCTTTTGTCGTGTGTCCCGGCTGTGTGTCCCGCCGGCGGGTCATGTGGGTTGACCGGGACCTTGGGAGTCTCATGGGTCACGGTGAAAAAAAAGGGGGACAAACACTGGACTCGAAAAAACACCGTGCAACTGGACTCTCAAACACTGGACTCTCAAATCTGGTTGCCAGGATCTGGTCCCAGTTCTTGGTTTTTTGATGCTCGTTTTCAGAAGGCTTTTGGCTCTCAAGTGGAGGTTTAGGTGGGGTGTTTCTCGACCCCGTGGAAGAAGGACAATAAATAGACTGGGTCTACCCATTGATTGAGGGATATTGAGGGTCTCCCTATTCAAAAACACACCCATATTATAGCTTTTAGATATGAATCCTATGATATCCTCAGAGGTTCTGGTTGGACCCATCAATTGCTTTTGGGCGCCAAACAAAATCATGTTCAATACCCCTTGAATATGTCACTATACAATGGTTATCATTGGCTTTCATGTTCTTTTGTAAAATGGAAAACCTCAGCCCAAGCAGATATTCAACCGGTATCATTTTCTTGAAAAGAAGATTGCAGGGCCGCTGAACGGGCCCCCGACCTCGGCATCAGTCTGCCCGGCTCCGTTTTTTCAGAGCGAGAGGGAGTCGTTGAGTCCATGAAGAAGGTGAGCTGTTTGTGTGAGCTGTTTGGGGGTTGGGGGGCATACAATCAATACGAAGACAATTCGTTTTTTTCTTGTTTGCAACAAGTTGCCAGTGCTCCTAAAGAGAGCCACCCAGATTGTTGGCGTTCCTTCTTCCATTTCAGAAGATTCAGCCAGGCACCGAGCAGCCTTCCGCCAACCAGGTCGTGGAGGCTTCCTTCGTCCGAAAGGGTCCGGAGAAGTGGAAAAGGGAGCATGTTAGTGTTGATCATTCTCAATTCAACCTGCCATGAGTGTGTATTATGTTTGAATAGGGAGACCCCAAAAAAGGGTCCGTTGGGAAGATCAAACACAGACAAAATCCATTGGTTGGGAGGCCCCTAGTAACAAATCCATATTGAAGGAAACACAACAATACCTTTGTCATTGGTACAAGATTGTTAGTATGGTTTTTGACATGAAGAAGACATCAGAAAAGAACAAAAACAGACGCCTTGAAGGACCCGGATGTGTTTGCATCCCAACATATGACCCAAACCACTGGAATGGACAACATACTTGAGAAATCTCTCATTGATGAAGGATGCATTTCTTATACAGTTCAAAGAGATTGTATCATCCATACCTTCAACGTGTTTCTGAGCTGTCGGGAGCGTTGGGAGCTTTGACCTTGCCGTGGCATGCCGGGCCTGGTCCTGGCGAACATCAGCCTGCAAACTGCTTGCTCCAGGATCTATATGATCTATTCCACAGATGGATCCATTCCAAGAAACACAGAGAGCCTAAGAAAAACTAGGACACCTTGCGCTTCGCCAAAATTGAAAACCCTCATTCGGGAGTGTTGTGCAAAATCATCCGTTTCAAGAAATGCCGTTTTGGCGTCCTGCCGTTTAGGTGCTTGGCCAGCAAGACCTGGAGTCGTTTCCTCGTCTACAGCGCCCTTTTGTGGACAGGAGTGGCAGTTGCTTGCACGCTCTTCCCAGCTGAGCAATGCAAACAGCCATGCAGTTTAGCAGGATGACAAGAACTGCTCAGAGGGAATTCTTGGGATTAGAACTAGTATGACATAGCAATGCAACACCTCTCAGGGCTTTCGTCTCAGGGCAGTGACTTGTGAGTGAAGTGCAGATTCCACAATTTCAGTCAAACCCTCGTCACTTGCTTGGAGAGAGTGTACTCACATTCATTTGTCAGGGGCAGAGGCCTGTTGATTGCTGCTCTATCAACCAGCTAGATCAAGGAAGTGCTCGTTTGCAAAGAACTTTCCGGGAGATTGTTCCCAAAAGCTTGCATTTTCAATAATAGAAGATAATCCCCAAAGACATGCGGAACTGGCAAACAGCAGTTGTCCTCTGAGACAGACCCAAACGATTCAACTTCATCCCGTCTGGCGCCATTCGACAGGACTTGGTTGATGGCGAAGGCCGGAAACGGAGGAAATCCTGCGCCCAATGCCTTGAGACGGCCGCATTTGCCCAAAGGGCCCGGCTATGGTGGGCATGGAGGCAGTGTGATACTCAAAGCGACGACGCAGATTGAGAGCTTCCTGGATATTCCGCAGACACTCGGAGAGGTACTGACGGAGTCACAGAGCGGTCGTGACTGGTATAGGTCTCTTAGTGTCTCTTGTGGGTCCATTCCCATGTTCTCATTCCCATTTCCATCTACTTCCATCGAGAGGCCTACCTAGCACATCCTAGCACCATGCGGCCGACCTTGTCGAGTAGATGTAGGGCCATGGTGCCATGGTGCCATCTACTTCCTACCTCTTTGTGTCATACGTAGCGTCATGGGCACCACTGGCGCCGTCCGCACTCTCCAGGAAGGTCACTGCACCCCATGGCGCTGACGGTCACGACACCCGACGAGGTCGTACAGGGGATGATCTCTACTTGCAGGCGATGTCCACGGGCATCCGTGTGGACTCACGGGTTTAAGATGCTTAAAGAGCGTGTCAACCTGAGGCAGGTAAACACCTAAAAAGAAGAGGCACTTTCTTTGGGAACGTATGGAAACATTGTTCTGCAATGAGGATCTGACCTGCACGTCATTGATTCGCGGGATGAAAACAAAGTGTGGGACCAGATATCGTGCACGCTTAGCTGATGTTAAAACCGTTCCTCCTGCTTTTTGATCACAACATGCCAACAGCAAGATATCCTGTAATCATCCTTTAATCACTTTAATCCTCAAAATATATCAAACAGAATCAAACATACAGTATGTATGTATATATAATATATTACATATATGCGCAATCCTCCAACCCCGAGATGGTTGCAGATTAACTCCGTCCATGCAACATCCATCTGACCCAGGTGCCTTTGGGCACCATTGTGCGGGAGCGCATCTTCAGTGGCTACACAACAGAGGAAGGCCGGCGGATCTTCCTGCCGCAGTTCCGCTACCAGTGTCTCGGATGTTTGAAAGGTGAGAGGAACACGAAAGAGCACGGTCAAAGGAGGGGTCTTGGTCAAAACCCAGACACGGAAGAACATGGTTTGGTGGACCACACCGACTGCTTGGTATCAGGAGTTCAAAAGTTTGTCGTGTTCCTTTGGTGGGCCATGAAGTCTGCTTTTGGAGATTGGTGTCCACTGGACGAGCTGAGCATCCTGAGCTCGTTGAGCTCGTTGCCAGCGCCATGTGTTCAGCCCGTAGTTGGACCCTGACCTCTTCCCTTCAACTCATGTCATCTCCTGGATCTAGGACTGAGCTCATGTCATTTGCGTCTCGGTGGATGGATTAAGACTCGGATGGAATCCGGATTCATCTGCATCAGCCGGATGTCCATAGAAATTGGATTTTTGTTGTCTTTTTTCGAGTCGATGATCCGAGAAAAGATGATCCGAGGCTGTCGGCTGTTGACTTCATTTGACGACCTTGTCTCAAGACACCGAGGTTCCTCCGGCACTTGGACACCTATGTTGTGGCCAAGGGCGGCATTGGTGGTATTGGACCCAAGTCCTTTAAGAAAGGCGCAGCGTAACAGCTGGTGGGTGCGGATTTTGGCACCACCGAAAACAGCTGGCGGTTTGGTGCTTGGAACTGTTGATGGAAAAACACACATTTGCTTTGTAGGTTGTGTTTCAAACCCAGCTGATGTTGGCTTTATGCGGGGTGGAATTTGGTTCTGAGATGCAACATCAAGGTGGTAAGTGGCAAGCTGTTTGACTCTTAATGATTGAAACGCATTTCGTGTCACAGAGAGAGAGAGAGAGAGAAAGTTTGTGTGCGTATTTTGTGCAGAAGCAATCAGAAGCACACAAAAGTTGTCAATTGGGAAGGCAGCCAAAACATGCCAAAACCAGTTGTAGTGAAATGGATTGGATAAATATATTCCAGAAGAAGATGAAGAAGAGGAAGATCTCGGGCCCCAAAAAGGATCCTCTTGTGGGCAATGTTGGTCACCAAGTATTGAAGGTATCGCTTTGGATCATTGGTGGACATCAAATCCAACTTGATCTTTGTGTAGGCGACATGCGAAGGGGTACTCCTGGGCAAAGGCACCTTGGTGGCATTGGGATTTGGTTTCAAGGAATGAACCCTTCCTAAATGTATCATTGACAAACAGCTAGATCAGTTGTACAGAAAGCTCAAAAGGATTCTATCCTAACTATCATAGAAAGACAGCTGCGAGGCATCGTTAAGCCTTATTCAGCTGCTTCTTCATGAATCTCTACACTCCCTTGAGCACTCATACAAAGCCCCTTTACAGCAGGGTGGTGATCTTCTTCGCATCCTCTATGTTTCATTCCCACATTGTGAATCGCATGTGAAGGAAAACGTTGCTGTTTCAACGATCATGTGAGCCTGCGGATGCTCCAACGGAAGAGTCTGGGAACTCGATTGCCACATCCGGTGAACGGCGGGGGGGGGTAGGAAGCTACTAGGAACAAGTGCATCGCTTCTAGAAACAAGTGCCTTACTAGTAGTAACAATAAGCTATTAGGAATAAGTGCATCGCTACGAACGTAACAAGGCTCGATTCGACACCGTCACGGCTCCAGGACACGGCTCGAGCTGGAGCTCCGTGTTTTGAACGACGTGGCATTGCTGGGTTTGCCCAATGCAGGGAAGACCTCCTTGCTGGCGCGGTAGACCGGAGACCGTGTGACGCCATATGATGACTTGGGACGATCGGTGGCATAAAGACTGGAAAGAAAGAGTACACTTGCTGGTTGGTGCCGCTGGTGCCCATACTTGTTTGTTTGAGCATGTTTGAGCCGAGCTGCTTCTGCAACAGCCTGAGTCTATTAAGTACATATTAAATATTCTCAGTGTCTTTAGACAGTTCGACTATGTTCGACTGGCAACCACATCACATCCGACATCATCCGACCACATGGTTACTCGGAAGGTCCACCTGTTTGGTCTTCGGAACCGTCGTGTGTCGGCTTGGTGCATCCGAGATTTTGGGGCCGGGGCCGTCTTCCATCCACTTCGAGTTCAGGGAGTGTATCTACTGTAACAGTATACCTACATACCTATATATACACACCCAGTTCAATGCTATCTACTGTACCTATATAGCCCAGACACTCCATGGGCCTGCCATAGGACTGCCGAGAAACAGCCAGGGGTGGTGAGTGCACGGAGGGTCTTTGGGGCGGCAGTCCTATTCCAGTCCTTTTAGGTCGTGTTTGGAATCATAAACCGCCATATTTACACCAACTACTGTAATAGTAGACTTACATATACCTATATAACCCAGTTCAATGCTACCTATACTGTACCTATATAGTTCATCCCAGTTCTTCTTCTTTCATCTATCACCACCTTGGGGACTCCAGGCCGCCATGAGCCGAGCTCATACGAGGATTGGACCGGAGGAGTTCAGCACCACCCGGTGCGGCACCGGAGAGAACTGTGTTGGGATATGTCTTTGGCGCGAAGATGACACACCGTTTTCTGATGTTAACAGGGCCCTGTTTGATAGATGTTTTCTGGCCCTGTTTTCTCAACCGACATCCTTACTTTTAGCGGGTTGCTGGTTCAGAAGGTATTTATATATATATATATGTGTGTGTGTGTTTCATGATGTTTCATCTAGGAGAAAGTGCTATCATCAATGACAAGTGGTTTGACGTGTTCATGCACCATGCATCACTTCCCAAATCAAGTAACAACTCCTTCACGGGGATGTGAACGTCATCAGATTCACTAATTATGCAACAGGTGCTAGAAGCGATCCGCTGCTTCTGGAGCCATGTCATTCATCCAGAAGGGGCCATGTGGGCCACATATGAGCCCTTGCCAGGCCACATGTGGGAGTGATTTGCTTCCGTGATCGACTCTTGGCGTATGTGTATGGCGAGGTGTATGATCGACGTTTGCGTCGGAGGGTGTGTATGATTACATGAAACAACATGTGCACATACGGACCTTTCAATGAACAAAGATAGCAAAAGTCCTGCCCAAAGAAACAAAGCAATCCACTGGTACTTCAAGAGGATCTTCTGTGAATTTTGGGGAGATTGCCCTGACAGACAAAACGGGAGGCCGGAATATGCTCGGTACATCTCGGTACTGTTTGATGGACAAATGAAGAGTTGAAGCTTGCAAAGCCGCCTTTTGGTTAGAACTTAAATGACTGGGGAGATGCAGTGTAACCTATCAAAAGGATTGGATGTTGGGTCCTAATATCATATTTGGTCACATTGGTTTGGAAAACCGGCAATTTCAAGAGAGGGAAACATCATGTCACATTTGTGGGTAATCCAGTCCCATATGGGTTCCTTGGGAAGAAAGGAAGGACCGGTTCCCTAGCGGAAAGGGCGCCGGACACATCAAAGCGCGCACGCGTGGCCTCAGCCAGCTTGGGGTGTCACCAAGGAGTTGAAGTGAGAGTCTGCGATTTGCCTGGGCTCAAGCATGGAGCTCACCAGGATTCTTGGTTTCTGTTTGTTGATAAACCAATCCAGAGTGAAAGATGACCGGCAACTGAGGGGGGAGTTGTAGGGAGTTCGGGCGAACTTCTAGTCTAAATGATCGCCGAAATGTGTGAAGGCATCCGAGAAAGTCGATAGAACTTCGTGAAACCATCAGACTCATCAGACTGGCGCTTTCTCATGTTGAGGTTTGCATGTGTCAGCACGTTTATCGGATGATTTGCCTATCCATCGAGGATCCTACATGGTTCATGCTTTCTTCGAGCTTTCTCACGGGGTGCACCCACGCCATTTGAGCACCTGGTTCCTCCCAGGTGTGGCCCCAAAGACCTGCTTGTACATGTTGTACAGGGTCCTAAGTGGTCTAAAGTGCATGAGTGACGCTGACGCATGTCAGATTGCCATTGAGCATGTGCCCCAACAGATGAAAGGTTCCAAAACCATGAACATCGTATTCCACCTTTTCCGGCATGAAGCGACGGTGGGGTTTGCGGACGCTCGTTCGATCCACGGGCAACGGCAAAGACCTCAGGCCATGGAAGCCCTTCTTCCCCTGCTTGACAGGAAGAGGATGTTTGCTTACGGTTTGGCCGTTGCGGGCGATATTTCATTGCTGGTGGTTTGATTGCTTGGTTTGATGTTGATTCTTAAGACAGAATTGTTTTCCTACCCTTGTTCAACTGTGCGCCCTGTGTTTGAGCTTGAGGACAAATTGATGGGTCGTCGAATTCTGCGGCATACCTACCGCTCGAGAGCACTGGCTTTCGTGGTCAATGTGGCGCGAGGAGAGAAATCGGAGGAGGATGTGCCTTTGCAGCATGCGCTACATCATTTGGCTGTGGGTCAACGCCAGGATACTGGAAGGGGGACTTATGCACTCTCAATCGACGAAAGAACCAATAAAAACCACGGTGAACCGTTCGGTGTTCACCATGTGTTCACCGTGTTTTCCTTGCGCGAGCCGGGCAGATGTGCCGAGTCCAGGTTCTGGAAGAGGTGGAGATGCTGCGCCAGGCCGGGTCGAGGTTTCGCTGCGCCGCGCCGCTTTCCCGGCGGGGTGGAACGGGATGGGAAGGATGGGGAAGAGAGAAGCGAGGACTGGAGGACAATCGGAACTGACTTTGTTGCTGAAGCATGCAGGAGCATGGAGTCAGGATGACATCAGTCTTTGTGATTCTACCAGGGTTGGGTGAAACCTTGTACTCTCATGGCGAGCGGAAGAATTTGTACGAGAATTATGCGTGATTAGCGCAGGACATCCGACTCATGGTGCGAGTACCTTAATTTGCAGAAGGCGAAACATGTGCAGAAGGGTTTAGCTGAAGGCAGTTTCAGCAACAGCTAATATGAGCTGCAGGCGGCCTTTGAAGGGTCTTTTGCATAACATGGGAGGTCATGGGAGTTTCATCTGGACCAGTTTCATCTCGAAATCATGAAATCAACATTTGGACCAGTCGGCAAAAGGATGGCTGTCCAGCTTTCTCGAATCCCCGAACATCACGAAGTGTTCTGCGCAGGAAGCAATTCAATTCGATCCTTTGAATGCCGAAAAGCCCTGGATGGTCATTGGAACCAAGTGTGACATGCTTCATCGTGATCCATTGCGCCTTGGCCTTCCCTTTGGCGAACGGAATAGAGGGACTTAGGTGGCTCCTGCTCCTGTTTTCCTGAGTCTTTTTTATGAGGGATCAAGAACAGTATATCATCCCTAGTGTTTGTTTGTTAAGCATGTGCCTTTAGCTTCTCAACCTATTCCGTGGTACCATGCCAACTCTTCATCAACTTATATCCCGGTGCCAACAAGAGCTTGCAAGCTGTAACGCTTCCAGATCAGGGCACTCTGGGGTAGTTGGCAAGATTGCCATAGATTTGCAGCCATGTGTGCATGGTCTCAGGTCTCGTTTCTATATAAACATGTCGCGACAGATCTGGAAAGATACACAAAACAACTTGTGCAATCACGTGAGTCCCCCTCGGGTTTCCCCCCTCGCGGGTTCCCCAAGAAATGTCACGACCTCGGGCGTTCGGTTCACTCGACTCATCCTGGCCTCCCTTCACCGGGTCGAACACTTCGGGTTCCACGAGCCATCTGGGACTGCCATTCTTGGCCGATCAGTTGGGTGGTGAGTGGCTCGGGGGTCTTTCTGGGGCTAAACTTCTTCCAGCCCCACGGAGTCGTGGCGTGTCCTTGGCGGCCGCGAAAGACAACAGTCAACACGGGGGCGCAGAGCTGAGATGCAGTGCTGTGGCAGCTTTGTCAGACCCAGTGTCAGACCCTTCATGGGTTGTTTCCGTAAAATCCGGCATGGCCCAGGTTCCACCGTCGATTGACCAACCATGACCCCACCGAGGTTCCACTTGGACTCGCTCTTCTACCGCCTTCGCGCGCGGTATGAGGATGAAATCCCAGTGGTTGGCACCTCTTCGCGCTTCGGCTTGGGGCTCACGCGATGTGTCAGGCCGGTTGCGGAGGGCGTTTTCTGGAGGGGTGGTTGAAGACCAGCGAAACCGAAGCTGGAAACCTTATCTAACCTTTCCCCCAAAGAAGAACCATGAATCAGATATAATCAGATGGTCCGATGGTCCTTGTTCTTCCTTTGATCATTTACCATTGCGCATGAAGGATGATGCCCCTCACCTCGTCCACTTGCTGGTGCGTTCGCCAAGCTGGCCCCAGCAACTAGATTCCGAAAAGCTCATTTTCAGGAGCTTGGATGAATTCCATTCCCTAACCTTCCAAGACCAAGCGGACCTGGCTTTGTAGAGCAAAATCCTTATATAGTAAAACAGGGTAAGACAATGAGAACTTCTCAAGCACCATTAGACTGTAAATTGATGGTCAGAATCCCTGGGATAAACAGGATGGTTTTAAACATTTGGCTCGGCCGCGGCCGATGGAGTTGGGCTTGTGGGCGGTTTTCGAAGGCCTCATCACCGGTCTCTCCATTCAGAAATCGTTCAAAAGATGTCCTTGACATATTTGCCGTTTATCGATATCGAATGATATTCAATTCTATAATTATATATATCATCAGTTATTATCTATAGTCTATATAATAGTAACAATAATAATGACACTTTGTACTTATATATAGTTGCGAATGAAAGTGCAGCGACACGTACAGTGCAACTTGTACATATATATGTATACCATATGTACTTTGGCTCAAGATCAAGCGACTAGAAAAGGTGCGGTTTCCGTTCCGACGCTACGCCGCTTATGGACCGTCAGTGATAGCTTCAAACTTCGCTGATTAAGATCCACTCGCAGGTTATCAGCCGTACGCGCTCTTTATAGCCGTACGAGCTACACGAGACCAAGAACAAGACTAGTCATTACAGAAACCTGCAATGTCAAGCTCAGGAGGAAATGGAAGCGAACCCTATTCATTCGCTGCTCCTGGTGGTCCCAACACCATTTCGTCACCAGACTCTACAATGGGTACTGATTCATCAGCCAATGCTGACGTTATCACTATGCCTACTGGATCACAAATCTCGGAAAGATCCGTGCCACCGGCTCGGAATCTGACCGATCTTGCACCCGTAGGACCAAGAAGAACGATGAGAACTACAACAAGATCTACATCGCCTATAACGTCTACCGCGAGGTCCCCAAGAAGGAGTATAGAGAAGAGACGTGACGATGATAGAGGAACAAAAGAGCAAAGAAGAGAGATTCAGCTGGGTGAAGAATTGAGATCGGCGAGAAACGCATACAATTTTCTTCATGAAGAATATGAATGCATCCAAGCCGGGTACTCACGACTACACCACGAGGCTGAAGTGGAGTTCAGGCAAATGTCTGACTACAACAGGAAGATGCAGGAACATCTACAGGAGATGACACAGGAAGATGAAGGAGCAACAATAAGAATTGAAGAGCTCGAGCACAAGCTACGTTTGGCGGAATCGACAGCTGAACATATCTACATGAGATATCAAGAGCTTGCACAAGAAACTCATCAAGAACATTCAGAGCTTGAATCTGTGAAAGCCACGAAGGACAGAATGTCCCAAGAGCTTCAAGCAGCAATTGGACACATCCAAGAACAGAATGAATCTTCATTGGCGATCAATAGAAGATCAAAAGCCATTCAGGATGAGAACACAGCCTTCGTCGGAATAGCTGACCAGATACAAGCTAGAATGATTGCGCTACAGGATGAGAATGTCAATATGCACGAGGTGATCCAACACCAGAGAGAAGAACAATGGAATAGTGAGGTCAGGGAAAGACGTCTCCAACACAGTGTTCACTCATCTCAAGATCAGAGCAATCAGGAGGCTATGGTTATTGATCATCTACGAGGTCAACTGGCTATGGCACGTGGAGCTGAACTCAACGCGAGAGCGGAGATAGGAGAGATGGAAGTGGGCATGAGAATGGAGATGTTTGTATGCCAGACTGAAGTCTCTGCTAGAGAAATGGCAGAAAAGAAGGCGAGCCACCATGAATACGAAGCAAACATCGCAAAGGAGGTTATCGCAAAAGGAGAAATATTCAACAACGAAGTCATAGAAAGTTCCATCCGTGAACGACAACAATTGAAAGACGTCAACCTCGCTCTATCCGAAGCCAACGCACAGCTGAAAAGAGAGAATATGATGAGAGCTCCTATGTTCGGCGATGATGGTGCTGAAATTCAACAGAAGATCGGAGAGCTGGAGAATGCACTATTGGAAAGCCAGAAGGAGACAAAGAATGTTATTATGGAAAATGCGAAATTAAAAGCAGAAGCACGAATGGCACCCATAGTCTCTCGGTACAGCAAACGTCCTAGTTCCAGAGACCGCGGGTTACCAACCCACGCGTCCGAGGAAGATGAGATTCGGAACGCAAAAGAGGAGGCGAAATACTACAAGGACGGGTACAATGAAATGACAGAGAGCCGAGATGAGATGTATGAATGGTATGCCGAGACCCACAATGAGTACGCCGAGGAAAGGGAGAAATCAATTGAGCTATCCGAGGCGAACAAATCATTGAGGGATAAGATTTCAGAAACAGAAGCATCCTCTTCATCTCATCTTGCACCGGCAACCTCTACAATCATGAAGGTATCGAGGAAGGAAGAATCAAAGATAAACGTTCCGTCATGGCCCAGGATCAATGATCTTGGACTATGGAAGGCAAATCTTATTCAATCGATCATCATTGCGGCCAATGATTCAGATCAAGAGCCCTGGATCGACTGGATCAAAGAAGCCATGGACGACCCTGATCCGGACAAGTTTGTCGACTCAGGAGACCAAAGATTCCATTCAATCGATGCTAAGCTCGGCCTAGCTCTTACCAAGGTCGTCATGGATGCGAAAGATGATGGTTCAGGTGTAGCTATGAAGTTGAGGACGAGGATCAATGCAAAAGGGAGAACATCAAGCCTCATAAAGGGAAGAGAGGTCCTAGCCCTGATCCTTATGAATTTCAAGACAACATCAAATGTGGAAGTCTTATATACTTCAATGCACCTTTACCAACTAGAATATCAAGGAGACAAGAACTTATCGTTGTTCTTCCACACTTGGGATGAGATTCTGGCAGGGATGAAGCCCGCTGACGTCCCGAGCGACGAAACTCTTCGGGATCTCCTATGGAGAAAGATCAGGAACTCAAACCTCATGGCATACGACATCAGCGCCTACAATAGCATGAACGACGATGATGCCAAGAAGACATACCAACATCTACGTGATATGATCAGAAGGCACATCGAACGGCAAACTGAAGACAGGATGATCCTGGAAAAGGAGAAGGCAGTGAAGAATGTGGCTAATATCTTTCAGAATCTTAAACCAGGCGGACCTGCTCCAAAACTGAAAGCTGCACCAGCTGATCCGAAGAAGAAACCAAAAGGGCAACAAGAACAGGTTGTCTCAGAAGACGCTGCTGCAGTGAAGCCGAAACCCAATCCCAAGAAGCATCCTGAAGACAAGAACAAAAAGGGAAAGGGGAAAGGTAAAGGTGATGGAAAGGATCGCAGCCGAAGTCCGAGTGCAGATAAGAAGAAGATACCATGCAAATTCTTCGTGAAAGGTAACTGCACTATGGGGAAAGATTGCCCATTCAGTCACAAGAAACCCAGATCACCATCCAGAGGACCTTCTGTCGGAAAGAATGACAAGCCAGTATGTTGGATGTGGATTCGAGGAACTTGTGACAAAGGGAAGGATTGCAAGTTCTACCATGACCCAAAAGCCTCTCCTAAGAAAGGGATATCTGCACCAGCTGACTCAGGAGACGATAGGCCAAAGCCCAAGGCAAAGCCCAAACCGAAGCCTAAGGCGAAGCCTGGAGCCCCAGCCATTGACGGTGAACTCTTCATGGACGAATCCGAAGATGAAGGGATTGCTGCATCCGCCAAGGCAAGAGAAGGAGGTGCAAAAGTGTCCTTTGATGAAGAGACTTGTGAAATCATATTGAACGAAGCGATCTACTCAGTCAGGGACAAATGGAAGGTAGTAGAAAAGAAACCTCTACGTCCGGACATCAAACGATACGATGAGAAAGAGCTCACCTGCTACACGAGGAAAGAACAAATCAGATTTGAAGAAAAGGTCGCAGAGGCAAGAGGCATATTGATGGTCCCCTACACTGAGATCAAGAGGATCCGAATACCAGTCGGACCAAAGGGTGACCTAGCGGTCACTATGTCTTTTGACGAAGATGACGGCCTAGTTTTCCATCATAAAATCATTCCTCATGTATGCGAGGGAAAGAAGGATCATGCAGACACAAAGACATTGTCTATTCCAGCCAAAGGGTCAAGAACAAAGTTCATCATGGACACAGGATGTGGGTATGATTTGATATCGAAAGGCAGAGCCAAGAAATTGGGTCTGGAAGTGAGAGAAAGCGACCAATCAATGTCATTCTATACCGCAAATGGAGTGACATCCACAAAGGGAGTCGCCGATATTCATTTCGACGAATTTGACTCTACCTACTCCCCATTCGTCCTAGATGAGTCTCCTTCAGTACTGTCTGTTGGAAAGAAATGCATGGAGGAAGGATACACATTCATATGGCCAGCCTGCGGCAACCCGTATATGGTTTCCCCGGACTACAAGAAGATCATGTTAGAAGTAGAGGGAAACATCCCATATATTGTCAAGGGCAGTGACTTTTGTACTCCCACCGACGATACAAGGGCGGAGATGATCGCAAGGTTCACCCTAGGAGAAGATGAAGCCGATTACCAATCGACTTTCATCAACTGTGATGTGGATCCTCAAGGAATCATGTGTGATAATGACGACCTTCCTGTGGTTGAGCCTCCAAAAGTCAAAAGGCGAAAGAGGAATAAGAAGTTCAAGGCATCTCCTGGAGAAGAAGATGAGGTAGGATCAGATGTCGCCGGTGACAGTGAACCAGAAGCTATGACATCGAGGTGGATGTTGTTGACGGTGCAAGTAGAATGGTGAGAAGAGGAACTCTGAAAGCAGATGCCAGGAAAAT